CTTCCACATACCACTCCCAGGACGGTACAAACTATAACTACCACAAACAACTCCCAGGACGGTACAAACTGTAACTACCACATACCACTCCCAGGGTGGTACCAACTATAACTACCACAAACAACTCCCAGGACGGTACCAACTATAACTACCACAAACCACTCCCAGGACGGTACAAACTATAACAACCACATACCACTTCTGTGATGGTAAAAACTAGAACAACTGCATACCACTACAGGACAGTACCAACTATAACTACCACAAACCACTCCCAGGACAGTACCAACTATAACTACCACATACCACTACAGGAAGGTACCAACTATAACTACCACAAACCACTCCCAGGACAGTACCAACTATAACTACCACAAACCACTACCAGGGTGGTACCAACTATAACTACCACATACCACTACAGGACGGTACCAACTATAACTACCACATACCACTCCCAGGACGGTACCAACTATAACTACCACATACCAGTTCTGTGATGGTAAAAACTAGAACAACCGCATACCACTACAGGACAGTACCAACTATAACAACCGCATACCACTACAGGACAGTACCAACTATAACTACCACATACCACTACAGGACAGTACCAACTATCACTCCCAAAGTTAGTTATTATATATATTCATCTTTGTCAAATGCAATGGTATTAATTAATTTTAAAATGATATTCTCTGACCAGTAGGAAATGAGTATGTCAAAAAACATGCAAGTAAGTGTTGTTATTGAACAACTGAACAATATGATGAATACTATCATGTTACATGTGAATTTAAACACAAACAGGGGTGGATGGAGAAAAAGCATCTATCTCTTGTGATATCCTGTGTCAGAGACAGTAACCTCACCAAAGGATTATTTTCACATGCTGTATATATATATATGTTACCAATATTTTCACTTTCATCATGCATAGCAGTGTGCTGTATTTCTAGTTGCAATAAGATGCAGCGTTCAAAAATCAGTTTGAAATTCCATCTCCTATTAAGATAAATTATAAATAACTATATATTTAATAAAATCTAAATACTAGCAGTAAATTTAATTCAAATAATTATATTATGAAAACATAAATTCCAATGCAGCTCCAAGGATTTCAAGAAACTTCAATATAAACTAATCACCAGGTAATGTTACTAAATACTCCAATTCATTTATAGAATAAATACATGTAAATTGTCTCCAGTAAAGAAATCAAGCATTCAACTTACAATAACCATCACAAAAATGGCATAGCCTGCCATGAAAGAAATACCAAAATATATGATAAATGTATGACAGATGAAAAATGGTAGTGAGTAAGATCAGAAGAGTAAGAAGAAGGCAATTAAAAAGAGATTGTAATTGATAACAAAGGAGATGACCCGGACACACATGGTGGTAGGAACTCAAAGGGAATGGAGTGTGTAGGAATGTCTGTGTGAAGGGTCGGAGGACAATGGAGTGTGGATGTAAGGTCCATTTAGTATAATGCATTGATAAGTTAATCGTGGTCCTTAGACAGGGAAATGGTCATCAGAAGACTTCCAAAAGAGAAATGTAGCCCCGCCTCCTAGGGATGGAATTAGCCAATAGAATTAGAAGATTTAGTTAAGTAGAAGTAGTGTTAGATTGTCTTTATAATAGGTAGAGATCTAAGGTTGTCAGAGTAGGAGAGAGCTGGAGGAGGGAGTCCAAGGACAGAGTCAGAGATAGACAGAGATAGAATTAGAGAGAGATCTTGGGAAGTGAGACTGAAGAGAACTAAAGGAGAAAGAATGGAAATGGAAACAGAAGGGAAGGGATTGAACAATTAAGTTTCCATGTATAAGATGTGAAGTTTGACTAAAATAAAGGACGTGGACTGACATAATGTGTCATCATTTGTAACCTAAAGTTCCCAAGTTACCTAGTGTCCCAAGTAATAACAAGGCAGACCAAGTGATAACAAAATCGGACCGGTGATAAAGGCATAGTCAGATCCTGTGTGATTAACAATACTATTTCCAATAATTTGCCTCAGGAAAGTCCCCTCGCCAGCTATCTCACAACTCATCATGACTATACCTTCATGTCACAGAGACTTTCCATTCTTTTTCTTAAGAGCTCTAAATAAAATAAAAATATAAATCATAAGATATTGTTTACAGGAAAAAAATTGCCCAGTCACACTTTCAACCTTTGACCATAAAATCATTTTCTACCAAGTATAAATTTTGTCCATAACATTTAGTTACTATGTTTATTGTGCAATTTACATATATTCACTATTATGATAAATTCCTCCCAATAACGTAGGACAAAAAAGGAGGAAATTAAACTGCGGCGAAAATTTCTCAGTATACAGTAGTTATTCATACTTGGTTAAATAATTGGTGGCATGTGTCCGAAAGTTACACCCTGTGTTTTTGTCACCAAAATTTTACAACGGCCTGTTTCTTTATGAATTGGGAAAATAAAGTATTATTTGTATTGAATTTGGGAATATATTTCTCAGTTTTTGGTAATTTTGGGAAAATAAGGCTCTTTTTGGAAATCACTGACCCCGGAATTAAGCCACTGATGTAGCACTAATTCTCAATATACCATAATGATGCTGGAAGAAAGGAAAGCTTGACATGACCAATGGAGGTCAAGCATTTATGCACACGGAAAACACAATAAGGCTATACTTGCACGGGGGAGAATCTGTGTGTTCAAAATTAAAAACATAAATCAAATGTATGAATATACCCCCTAAAGAACAAATAACCCTCAAAATGATACGTTTTATGTTGTTCTTTCAGATGAAATCACTAGATCTTTGTATATTGGAATAGTTTAGTAAATTTACTGGTTGAAACTATTAAATTTAAGGGTCCGAAATCAGGAGTCTCACTCCTAAATAGGGAAAGTACGCAAGAGAAGTATGTAATGGTGAAAAAATCCTGGAATGACTTGGAACCTTCAAATGATGGTCCTGGATAATAAGGCCGATATATATTTATACACACATTGTTTTCAGATCTCTGATGACAAGGATTAGAAAGAGTTATCTCCCTTCATACAGAATTGATCTGATTGTCACACATATATATATATATATAAATGAACTCTTCCAATTCAAAGGACAGAATAGTTCATTAAGACATTTCAGGGGTGAATGGTGTCGAATTATGAGCCTTTGTATAGTTTACCATGGTAAGTGTTGACAAAGTTTCAGGTTTTTAACATTCTATATACTTTCAAAAATTGTATACATCAAATAATAATAATAAGAAGAAGAATATACTTCAAATATATGAAGCAAGTGATTGTGCAGAAACAAAAAGTGGACAGAAAGAATTGACACAGAAGGTGATTACTGTAGGGCACCTGTATTTTCTGAATGAGGGGCCATATTAAATTAACACAACAAGAGAAAGTCAGATAAAATTGATGATGATTGTAAATGCTATAACCAGTTTAAAATCACAACATTGTTATTAACACTTCATCTCTCAGTTATAACAAGCAAAAGACTAGTAGTAAGTAATTCTAATAACACTCCTGCAAGATATTGTTTTCTTTTTAGAAAAGATTTACCAAAGCTATAATCATACAGAAAAAGCAGTTTCCAACACTTAGTTACAGTTTTAGGCAGTGGTACGGGGATCCTTAACAAGAGTACCGCAGGGCGGAACAATATGCGCCCGTCGAATGCCATATAGTGTTATATACTTTCTTACATTGAAATAAGATCTGCATCATTCTAAGAGTGTTTAGCTGACATGCTATAAAAAATGTAGGAGAAAATCTACGGACAAAAAATCTAATACTGAAAGGAACAAATGGAAATAACATTTGGAAAAATCGTCGAATCAAAATTCTTTTCAAAGAAACACAACAACATATCATGATTATTTAGCCTATGAAGTTTCCAAAGAAAGCCATCAAAAAATGTAGGAGGAGATCTCCAGACAAAAAATCAAATACTGAAATGAACAAAGAGCAATAACTTTTGGAAAAATCGTCGAATCAAAATTCTTTTAAGGGAGACACAACTTCATATCATGATTATGATGTATACCAAGTTTCAAAGAGATCGGTGGAAAAATGTAGGAGGAGATTGACGGACAAACAAAAGTTTACGCCGGACAACGCCATACCATAATACTCCCGTCAAATTTGACGGGCGTATAAAAGGATGAACATCTGGCATTTAACACTCTGAATTAGGCCCTACCCGTAGTTAGCCTGTACTAACAACACACTTCTAGAAGAAAACAAAACTTCCAGCTATCTACCCCTTTTCTATGGACAAGGATATGAGTATAACAGAGGAAAAAGATAAAGGAATCAAATTTGAGTAAATTACTTATAGTTACTACAAACGAACGGAACGTTTACCCTAACAGAGCCACCAGTCCTGTGTCACCACGAAACGGTTCATACAGATATAGGAAGTATAGAAAGAATCAAGCCATTCTTTTGGAAATCTAGATCTTCATACGTGTGGAACCCCATGTAAACCTGCAATGTTTCTTTGTAAAGTGTTAGCATGGCATCATACTTGATCTTCACATTCTGCTCGTCAGCTGCCGGGCGAACCATGACAACAAACCTCACCTTGATAGGGAACTTTGTTGTGAACGCTGAACCAGCATGATTAACATAAGCTATCCTGAGGTGCTCGCCGGTCTTGCTGTATGTCCAGCGGATGGTGTTCGCCCGATGTGTTTCAGACATGTGTGATGGAGTGAAGAATATTTGAGAATTTACAGAGGGTGGAATGTTGATACCGCCTACATCCCTGATGTATATTCTTGGAACATAGTACTTATCATCCTCTGCACCAGGTTGTCTCAAACCAGTTGAGTGGAATTTGTAACCCTTGTACAAGGTGAGAAAATGTTTCTCCAATGGTCCATTCCACAGGTCTGGGACAGTTTCTGCCTTCTCCAGTTCTCCAGGGGTCATCATTGGAAACCGTACAAGAGTCATCAACTTCGCCATATCCTCCATTGTTTCTATTGGATCTATAGCACGATCGTAACATTGCATCCACTTGACAACCAGAAAGAATCCTGAAGTTCTGACCTTGTTACAAGCATGCCTGAATCCAGAATAGGCATCAGTTCATCGACTTCTAACTTGATGAGTTCACCATTGGAAAAGAAGATGTCAAATTTGGTGCCCAGATAGGTCACACACTTATTATACAGTGCCTCAATGTTGAACTGCAGTGCAAACTTGTACCAAGGGATGACATTCTCTTGGGACAGATTCTCTACCATATATTTTATGCCAAGGGCGATCAGGTCCTCTATCATGTACTTGTCAGCCAACATGAGGAGGGGTGTAATGTTCTCCTCACAGAATGTGATCTGCCAGGTATATAAGAACTCCAGGACCTGTTCAAACACTTCCTCCATCAGACAGTTCTCCTCCAGAGTCAGGTGGTTCACATTACACTACTCCTATTAACAAACATAAGTATTTAGATACTATAATGTCAAAACACAAGGACAGGATACTGTATATCGGGACACTTTCACCCTGACAATTATCCTACCTTCACTGCTAAAACACCTATTTGCCAAATATTAATTTCTATTTCTAATTTACAGTTGCTGTCATGATAGTTTCCCCACTATAATTACTGCAAAGGATGAAAAAGGCAAAAAGTGAAACTGCAGCAAAAGCTTTCCTATATACAGTATACCTGGTACCACAGAATCAATACACAGGGACAAAGTAGCCTAAACACATCAATACATTACAAAACATACATGCCTTAAAACAAGGATACAATGTACTATAGCCTTAATACAAGGATACTAACGTCTTAAAACAAGGATACTAACGCCTTAAAACAAGGATACAATATACTATAGCCTTAAAACAAGGATACAATATACTATAGCCTTAAAACAAGGATACAATGTACTATAGCCTTAAAACAAGGATACTAACGTCTTAAAACAAGGATACTAACGCCTTAAAACAAGGATACAATGTACTATAGCCTTAAAACAAGGATACAATATACTAACGCCTTATAACAAGGATACTAACGCCTTAAAACAAAGATACAATATACTAACGCCTTAAAACAAGGATACAATGTACTATAGCCTTAAAACAAGGATACAATATACTATAGCCTTAAAACAAGGATACAATATACTATAGCCTTAAAACAAGGATACAACGTACTATAGCCTTAAAACAAGGATATGATGTACTATAGCCTTAAAACAAGGATACAATGTACTATAGCCTTAATACAAGGATACTAACGTCTTAAAACAAGGATACTAATGCCTTAAAACAAGGATACAATATACTATAGCCTTAAAACAAGGATACAATATACTATAGCCTTAGAACAAGGATACAATGTACTATAGCCTTAAAACAAGGATACTAACGCCTTAAAACAAGGATACAATATACTATAGCCTTAAAACAAGGATACAATGTACTATAGCTTTAGAACAAGGATACAATATACTATAGCCTTAAAACAAGGATACAATGTACTATAGCCTTAGAACAAGGATACAATATACTATAGCCTTAAAACAAGCATACAATGTACTATAGCCTTAAAACAAGGATACTAACGCCTTAAAACAAGGATACAATATACTATAGCCCTAAAACAAGGATACAATGTACTATAGCCTTAAAACAAGGATACAATGTACTATAGCCTTTAGCCTTAACACAAGGATACAATGTACTATAGCCTTAAAACAAGGATACAATGTACTATAGCCTTAAAACAAGGATACAATATACTATAGCCTTAAAACAAGGACAAAAGCATACTATAGCCTTAAAACAAGGATGCAATGTACTATAGCCTTAAAACAAGGATACAATATACTATAGCCTTAAAACAAGGATACAATGTACTATAGCCTTAAAACAAGGATACAATGTACTATAGCCTTAAAACAAGGATACAATGTACTATAGCCTTAAAACAAGGATACAATGTACTATAGCCTTAAAACAAGGATACAATGTACTATAGCCTTAAAACAAGGATACAATGTACTATAGCCTTAAAACAAGGATACAATGTACTATAGCCTTAAAACAAGGATACAATGTACTATAGCCTTAAAACAAGGATACAATGTACTATAGCCTTAAAACAAGGATACAATGTACTATAGCCTTAAAACAAGGATACAATGTACTATAGCCTTTAGCCTTAACACAAGGATACAATGTACTATAGCCTTAAAACAAGGATACAATGTACTATAGCCTTAAAACAAGGATACAATGTACTATAGCCTTAAAACAAGGATACAATGTACTATAGCCTTAAAACAAGGATACAATGTACTATAGCCTTAAAACAAGGATACAATGTACTATAGCCTTAAAACAAGGATACAATGTACTATAGCCTTAAAACAAGGATACAATGTACTATAGCCTTAAAACAAGGATACAATGTACTATAGCCTTAAAACAAGGATACAATGTACTATAGCCTTCGAACAAGGATACACTGTACTATAGCCTTAAAACAAGGATACAATGTACTATAGCCTTAAAACAAGGATACTATGTAAATTGCAGTGTCAACACACAAGGACAAAAGCATACTTTAGCCTTAACACAAGGACAAAATATACTATAGCTTTAACACAAGGACAAAATATACTATAGCTTTAACACACGGATAAAATATACTATAGCTTTAACACAAAAACAAACATTATATAGCACCTTTATAGACAAATATAGTATATCAATATAGGACAAAATTACTACACCCTCAACATATGAGGACATACTGGTGGCAGTGGAATTTGAGAACAGAAAGCATCAGTAATACAAAAGCCTTCGGGCAAGTGAGCTAAAAACTAGTGTCAAGCAGTAGGGAAAATACACGTTTTAACATTCACGGAGGTAATCAGGAGATTTTCTTCACCAGAAATAAAAGGAAAAAAAAAATGGTTTTCCTACCTATCTACCCTATTTTTGGGGGAGCCGAAACAGGAAACACACATATATTTTTATTTGGACTTAACTATGACATAGGACAAAATATAACACAAAGTCAAAAACAAGGACAATAATTATATACCATAACCTTTATACACTAGGACAAAATATACTATACATAGTATCAACACAGGGAGAAAATTTACCACCAAGTCAACATACAGGACAAAATAAAAATGTGTTGGCATACAAGGGCAAAAGACACCAAGCATTTAACACAAGGACAAATATACCATAGCATCAATACCGGGACAAAATATACCATAAGGGCGACACGGGAACTCAAGTCCAATCATTACAATGAGATGAATCCAAGAACAATGGAGACAATACCATAACAAAAGGAAAACCCTTGTAAATACCACAAAAACCAAGAAGCAGGGGCAACAACAGGTGCTCAGGAAGGGTGAGATTATCCACCATCTTATATTACACCCAACATATTGTCTCCAGCTAAATTCAGGAATAAAAGTCAGCAACCAATGATCTCCTATTACTAATCAAAGGCTAGACTTTGATTTACTGAACTAAAGGTAAATTTAAAACATATTTATTCACCTCATAGTTACCGCTTTTTTGGGCCAAGATATGTTCTATTATGGAGGTGAAGGGACACTTTGTCCTACATTATATTTACGTATGCCCTTCCCATTTTCCATTAACTCTATGGAAAGTCAGCTGGCAGTTACTGGACACTAACTGCAGTCTGCATTATCTGGTCACATGACCATGGTTTCGGTGTTGTCAGTGTTAGAAACCACTCCCAACGATATGATAGCTGCCATCTTGTTGTTGTCGTTTGGTTCATACAAGTTGCATTTTAACAGGTTTTGTAGACAATGAAGACATCCAAAATATATAGGAAGGTAAGTTCCTACTTTTGTATTAGAATGTTAATTAGCCTATTTAACAGTTGTCGCCTGGTTACATTTTTTACTGGCGACCGTTGTTTGGAAAGATTTCGGTCCGATAATGGCCTTCTGTGTCTGTTCAAAGAATTGGACCAGTGAGGTTTTGCGGCAGCAGAAAATATAAATTATGCTCATCCGACTAATTAATAAAAGACAGGTCGTATGAGGAAATGTAAATATAACGATTGAACGTCTGTCAGATATCCGTCGCCGAGATTGCATTCATGCTGGCGGTAACTGCAATCTGATAGAGGTTCAATCCTTAAATAGATATCCTATAGAGTTAATTGGTACTATATCACCCATGTATAATGTAGCTTAGGGTACACTGTATGTGTGTTCTTCTTTACTAGTGTAGGTACAAATACTGTGAAAAGAACTTATCCACATATTCTATATTTTCACCGCAATTAAAAATACATATTAGCATATATTGATTTATTGAATTTGTGAACTTCTGATATTATATGATAAAGTACTAAGATCTAGAATTGGTACGTATCATACTAACTGTTGACAGCATAGTGCGAAACACCTCACTGCAAGAGGACAGCACAATCTTGTGACCAAAGAACTCCTTTTCTCCACAGAAGATTTTGACATCGCTGAACTCTGAATTGTTGAAGAAATCCCGGAACTGAGAGCGCCCAGTACCCTTGACATACTCTGGATTTGTTCCCATCCATGTACTTTCTTCCATTTTGGTTTACAGACTTAAGCTCCTGAATTCTACAAAAGAATAACAAGGATTAGGAAAATCAATATAGATTAAACAGAATTAGTCTACTGTATTAGTTTTCAAGCTGAAAAATGGCAAACAGTATGATTCTACCTTCCTATTTACAGGAAATGGTAGATGCAATTACAGTATAAGGAAAATGTCCTTAGTTACTCATTAGATTAAGTCAAATCTATCAATACATCATTTACGGTATTACCTTAAATTGAACACGACTATTCAGTGATAGTGCTAGCCTTTTCAAAAGTGATTATTTTGGATAAAAATAGAAATAACAAAACCCCTAAAATATGAACCCTGGACCCTTCAAACTCTAGATAGACACTTTACCAATTGAGATACCCGGTCACCAAAGTTCGACCCAGTCCAGTTCCGTTACATTCCTCCTCAGTCTTTGCCCTCCTTTGTGTCGATCAATAATACATGTATTGTACAATGGTGTGGAAGTGTTAATGTGGATGTTTGTAATTTTTAATTACACCTCATCATATTTCAACAAACTGGCAATCCAGATACAAATTTATATATCCCTTAGTAAAATTAAATAATTCAACTTACTCGACCCAAAATTAGTCATACTCATAAAAAGTTAATCTCCATCACCTGTCCATCCTGGTCCCTGTATTAAATATCTATATACATGTATTACATGCTGTACCGGAATGGGTGAAACCTTATATAGGCTATGTCTGTTATCTAATCCCTTGGTTTTGAAAAAATAAATTATCTTGAACTGAAGCATTCACTCAGTACTTGAAACGCCCTTAGCCAGTCAAAAATGGTTCAAATAATACTTTAGAATTAAATTTGTGTAGTTTCCTCTGACGATATAACAATACAGATGCTTATCAGCATTTCAACCAAATAGTTTTGTTTTCAGCAACATTTCAAGAGATCACAATATTTTCAAAGTAAACATGTCAAAAGGCCAGAAAAAAAGATTACGTCGATGAAATTATAAGCATGTTTACAGTGTAAATGTTGATTCCTGGTCCTGATAACCATAATATCAAAGTGTAGATATATAATTGTAGTTCCGTATAGTATTTATGAAAGCAATATATTTTGTTGCAATCATCTCATCAAGTAGTAGAAATAAACACACCTTTCATAGTCTCGGACTCTGTAGTATGTTGTACGAATTTGGGTACTAATCTTGGCAGAAAAACAATATTTGATAAAAGGGTCAGCAAAGGATTCAAGAGTTTAGTTCTCATGGGGGATTTCAATTTACCAGATATAAACTGGGTTTCATGGAACGCCAAACGAGACAGTATGGAAACACAGAAATATAAATTTGTAGAAAACTTACAAGACGACTATCTATATCAACAAGGTATACCAACAAGGTGAAGATGAATGGATACACCGCATGATTTGGATCTTATCATCACAAACGATGAAAATCTTGTATCAAATACTGAATATCAAAGTCTGTTGGCGAAAGTGATCACAGCGTGCTTCTGTTTGAGATAGAATGCAGTACCAGTGATGAATGTAGAAAAGTGACAAAAAAATGTTACAAGAAAGCAAACTTTGATGAAATAAACAAGAACATCTAAGAACTGGTTTGGAATGAACTTTTACCAAATTCTAAAAGTTAAGATGAAAATTGGTCCTACTTCAAAAAATGTTTGAAGGACATTGAAGAAAAACATGTACCTACTAAAGTCATCTGGATTACCAGAAACAACAAGCACAACTTCCCGGTACACGAAGATACATTTCAGAAAATCAGTGAAAAGCACTCGCTTTCAAGGAAAGTAGCAATCGGCAACAACCCTACAGTTCGAAAGGAATATTTTTAACAGAGTCAGAAATCAGGTCAAAAAAATAACCAAAAGACTAAGGAGGGAATTTGAACATAGCTTAGTGATGAAAGCTAAAACAGACCCAAAGATCATTTGGAAATATGTAAACTCAAAGTCAAAAACACACTAGGAGACTCGAAATCAACAAAGACATCAAATGATAAGGATAAAGCAAATGTTCTTGCGAACTTCTTTCACAATGTTTTTGTAAAGGAAGACAAGAAGCCCAGAGGGCCTGTATTGCTCACCAGAATATTTAAGCAGTCAAAGTAAAACATTCTCATTACCAAATATTATCCTGTACTACAAATATTTCAATCGCAAACTTTATTGGCTCCATCTGTTGAAACTACCAGCCAAATATTATTATATGATTCCATGCTTTTTGGTTCTTCTGAAGAAGTTGTTTGACATATTTGACCCCTGTGACCTTATAAGGAGATCTATAGGTTGTTTCATTTTCAAACTGTGCCAGGTGCCATCCCAGGAAGCTACCAGCTAAATATTATAAAACTATGCTCTAAGATTATCCAGAAGAAGTCGTTTAATTGTTTGAAATATTTGACCCCTGTGACCTTGTAAGTAGGTTATTTTCTTTTACACTTTGTCGGGCTCTATCCCAGGAAACCACCAGCCATATATGAAGATTCTATACCTTTTAGTTTTTCAGAAGAAATCATTTGAAGTGTTTGACACAGATGACCCCTGAGACCTTGAAAGTAGGTCAAGGTCATTAACATTCTCAAACTTTGTCTGGCTCTTTCCCAGGAAGCAACCAGCCAAATATGAAGATTTTATACCTTTCAGTTTTTTAGAAGAAGTTGTTTGAAGTGTTTGACACATTTGACCCCTGATACCTTGAAAGTAGGTCAAGGTCATTTTCATTCTCAAACTTAGTCTAGCTCTATCCCAGGAAGCAAGCAGCCAAATATGAAGATTCTATATACCTTTCAGTTCTTCAGGAGAAGTTGTTTAAGTGTTTGACATATTTGACCCCTGTGACCTTAAAAGTAGGTCAAAGTCATTTACATTCTTAAACTTTGTCAGGCTCCTACCAACAAAGCTTCAGAAGAAGTTGTTTAAAGGAAAGTTGAAAGTTAAATATATATATATTAAATATATCCATTCTGTAGTCCTTGTGCTGCTGATATGACATAATAATTTGAAATGTGTTATTTCATTTTGTAATCATTTTGTACTATAATAATAATATAAATAGTTATAAAATGAAACTTTTCTTTATTATTGTAACATTTAATAAGATGCCTAAATACCTAGTAAGAATGTGGTTTTGTTTGCTTGGCCTTTTTTATTATGACGCAGCAATACCACATATTTTGTATTTCGGCATCATTTTGTTTGTGTTTAAATAATAAATGAAATTACTATCATTTAAAATGATGTCTCATCTATGAAGCGTAGCTGTACTGTCCACGCGTGCAGGAATTTGATGACATGATTCCATAGAAGATAATTCAATATGTATGTTATTAAAATATCAATAAAATGTTCTATTGATTTGAAAAATATTTCATTACTTAATTAAGAAAAACAGATTGCATGACTAAATGTAAACAAAAAAAAGTTAATCTGAACGTGGATTCAAACTAACACTTCTTCTGGTCAAAAGTAAACTGCGTTACACATTCGGCTACACTAATATAGAAATACAATCTGTTTTAACCCAAGAAACAGTTTTGAGAAACTTGATCAACCATTTTTTTCATTATTTTGAGCAATTTACCGTTATACGATTTATTATTGCATATTACATCATGTAATAAAAAAATGTATTCAAAAGTTGGTCCTCGGATGGGAAAGTGATAAAAGTACTTTTAAAGTCTGGGAAACACTTCATTACATTCATAGATTTAGTGAATATGGCTATATTTACTGTATTGTATTAACAATACCTAATAAAAAAAAATCTCAGCAGTTCAAAAATCCATATTCAATTGGTTCGATATCTTTTCCATGCATATTTTGCTACTAGAAAATATTTACTCAATACTTTTTTCCTGTATTCATAAATGCCGACTTGGGGAAATATGGGCAGTTTTCGGCCACAGCTCTTTAAGTACATATTTTAGCTTGTCTTGTATTTGGTGGCTTAAAACGTGTAATGTAAATGAAATATAATGTATCAGTATTGATATATTTGAATGTAAACTCGTACTATTTAGTAATTATTTGTTATATCTGTATCGTACATCTTGTATGATGTATCACGTGTATATATGCATAAATGAATTTTAAATATTAACCTCAAATTTTATTATTTTATTTTAATAATTTCTACCCCCTCCCCCCCAAAAAAACAAAAAATAATATATCCAAAAAATACCCTCCGTATGTGTATATGCATAAATGAATTTTAAATATTACCCTAAAATTTGTTAACAGACAATTAGGTGTTTATTTATTATCTTATTTCATACCGCTCAAAATTTATTAAAACTTCTAAAAATATATATCCAAAAAATACCCTACATATCACATACACAGAAAAGCTACAAATCAGACAAGTAACTTTCACACAGGTAAGTTACCTTTAGGGTAAGTATGAAACAGGATTTAATTGGTTTGCCATTGTCTTCTTCGTTCTCTAAAAAGTGGGGGAACTGATGAGAACGGTACCTGCTAAATAGGTCATGTCACACATTTTCCGTACTGTTGTTAATATGTATTACAATTATCGAATGATTTACCACGGACTTAGATAACAATCTAATCTAATTCCGTGGATTTACTTTAACCACGGACTTAGATAACAATCTAATCTAATTCCGTGGATTTACTAAGTAGTAAGTACACTGTTTCTTTCTTCAGATCTTGCCGCCGATGCAATACACAGTGATCTACGTCATCGTTGTTTGTGTAAAGACATCACTAAAGACCCGAATATTGACCTGAACATAGCAGTATATTTACATTTAAAAATGATTTAATGATATAGTCTACATCTGGTACAGGATTTCGAATCCTATACACCAGACTCGAAGCATAATAATTGTGATATAGATAAATAAAAAGTGTTTCTTTTTATTATAACTGTAAATGGGCTGGTAAGTTCCCAGTGAATGTTTGAAAAACTCACAAAGACTGTACAAATCAGTTCGTGTTTATTCTTGCAATGAAACCATTAAATTCCATGAAGCAATATTTGTCTGTTTCATCTTTTACATGTTTATCCTGAATTCTGCAACAGATACAAATAAGACACATTTAGATGAGATACATATCTCTTATATCCATAGTTACACCTATACTTGCATGCATACATACATTACATACATACGACCCTATTTATTCAATGTTACTTCAAATAATCTATGAAACCATATCATTCTAACAATACACAATATGTTAGATTTAATAACCTTTACACAATATATATTTACACTTATAAATTTTGGATCAATACAGTCTAAGGGAAGTTAATCTACCCTCAGCATTACATTTGACATTATTTTGGAATGATACTCAAAATACAAACGTCGCAATAATATATAGATATATATGTGAACCTGGCTATGGGCCGACTTCCTAGACTCTTCCGAAATGTAATCAATATTCAGTCGACCCAGGGTCCTATGCATAATTAAAATACTACATGTTACAATGGTTCTAATTACTCTTAAAACACCTTCACCAAAATAAAACCAATATGTGTACCAAGATATCTTATCAATCTTAGTCACTACAGAAATACAAGTAATGCATGAAAATAGTTAATGTTCAAGCAGTTTTACTTTTTACAACATATTTGCATTACTTTAAATTCAACCTTCAGTCTTCGAACATGTTGTCAGACTCAATTACATTCAAAAGGTAGCAATTACATATTTTACAACATTATACAAACTACATCTTCATCTGTTAGACTTCCTCCGTCGATACCGACGATAACGGAAGTAGGGTCGTTGTGTTATTGTGCGTTAATTATGTCTACAGTGATTATTTTTTTTATTTCATTTTTTTTGCTATAGGATAAAAACAGGTTAAAAGCAGTGAGTGAGTGTTAGTTATGTTGTAGTTTTTGTATATGTTCGATTATGTTGTATGTGGTGCATGTCGTGAATTCTGCTAGTGTATTTGATTGAATTATTGTTGTGGGAAGGAGGTTCCATTGTATTATGGTGTATGTCTGTATGTGTCTTTGGATGTGTAGATATGTCTGTAACTAAGGTCGTGTCCTTGACGTGTTCTGGTGTCTGTCGGGATGAGATTGTTAGTGTGTATTGCTACTTGTTGGTTTATTATTTTGTAGAGAAGAATAATGCGTGGTCTTGTTCTGCATGTGTGTAGTGTTGGCCATTGCAAGTTTTGTATCATGTCTGTGACTGAGCTTGTGTTATGGTATTTGTTTAGGACATATCGCGCTGCTCTTCGTTGTACTTTTTCTAATTGGTTTATGTTATTTGTATAATGTGGGTCCCAAACTGAAGAGCAATATTCGAGTTTTAGTCTTACAATGGCCTTGTATGCATGTTCTTTTATGTGTGTTGAATTTATTTTTAGGTTGCGTTTCAGAAAGCCTTGTGATTTATTTGCATTTGATGTGATGTTGTTAATGTGTTTGTCCCATTCTAAGTTGTTTTGAAGTGTGATGCCTAGATATTTGTTTGAAGTAACATATTCTAGTGTGTGGTCATGGAGTGTGTATTGGTGTTTAATGTGTGTGCGTTTTGGTGATATAGTGAGTATGGTGCATTTGTCTGAATGGAATTTCATGAGCCAGTCCTCTTCCCATTTACTAGCTGCATCTAAATCTGCTTGTAGTTTTCTAGTTTTACGAACTTTTGGTAAACCAAATTGCTACATATTTATGGTATAAATGTACCAGTAACATATAATGACTGCTTCACATGATGGTATACATTTAAGCCTAGCTTTGACTTGCTTATTATATAATAAACGAAATTATTGAAATGTCAGTTTGGGGCAGGTTCGACCCAGTCAATAAATGGACAGTCGTGACAGTGGCGGGAAAAAAATGACGTTGCATGCTCTCTGACGTCATGATGATGCTGCTTCCAACATAGAACCCAGACTGTCTATCCGGACTTGCTCCATGGTGAGGCACGTTTGGCCATCAGATCTCTCGACAGTTTTAAAATTCTTTAGATACGGACATGTATGTCTTTTTGTTCCTATTTTATGAAAGGTACGGGATTTCTATTTCACTGGACAAATGCCTTGCTGTCCAGGACGACTTAAATAATAAAAATGGACTGGACATCAGCCCAGACATTGGCCAAATTTCGAGATTGATATGTATTTGTGTAACAAGTACTTCTTGAATTATTGGCAAGGGGAGGAATATCCAAACCTGAAACTGGGTTTTTAAATATTGTTATTTTCTGTAGGCGAACACTTGGAGAAAAAAGGTTGGAGGAAATGTAGTGGAACGGGAAAGCTAGGGTCGATCGCCGGCAACCTAGCTGGCTCAAATATTGGTAGAGAGTTCGGAAGTCTGGTTTTCGAATCCCGGACTGGCCGTGATATGAGGTTTACTAGCTGTTAAAGTGAATATTTGTATAGTAGCTGTTACTGCATATTACTTGGTCATTTAAAAGGGGCATACATATCATAGGCAACTTTTCCTTTCCTTTATTAGTTCCTATTGATTTGACTGGTTAGACAAAATGTAGCAGGACGGTTGCTTTTTTGGTGGACATATTGAAGACTTTTAAACTATACTCAAACATTTGAAGGTGTGCCAGCGTCTAATACTTTTGAGAAAAACGATAGATGCATCGGTATGTCCACACGATCGAAGTTTCCCTGTAACAAGACGCTGCCAATATTTGTACAATTTTGTCAATTTGATATATGGAGTAATATTTATTTTTGACAAAACAGCCAAGGTCGTATGAAAAAAAACACCGATTCTATAGTTAGCGGAAAATCGTGGTTTTAAAATCGTCAAGCTCTAGGGTCGTTTTCGTGTAACTGTTAATTGTTCGTTTATTAAATAAAGTCGGACCTAGTAATCTGATGATGCTTGCAAGGCCTGCATAAACATGTGTAGGTCCGCCAGGATTTATACCCGAAATTGTTACATCAAGGCTACATTCGTGTATCCGGTTGAAACGGTTGAACCGGTTAACGTTGAACCTGCAAAGAAAACGACAGGTACAGATTTGGACCGAGGCTGACCTCAGGAAAATTTGGTACGGTCCAGACGTACCTGACCGAAACTAAAATGCTGAATATTGCCAATTTGCGTTATTTCTTTCTTAAACAATGTCAAGTCACATGTAGTTTTTAAGATACGTTATGTAATTTAGTGGAAGGATAAAAGAAAGGCATATTATTCTTGATATATTGTTTTTTATTCTCCGAAACTGTCCAAGTGTGTTGTTTCAACCGGGATACGCGAATGTAGCCTTATAAACGGTTAAACCGGTTGTTTCGCATAAACGAACAGGCCCTATGTCTCTTGCGCGTATCCGGTTTAACCGGTTCGTCTGTTTTTTAATGTAACCGGCATTTTTGGATATACATGTATATCTAGGCGGACCTGCGAATGTTAATGCAAAGCTTTGTCAAGGCTCGCCTGAGAGCAGCATCAGATTACTAGATCCGACCTCATAACAAAAACTCTGGTCCAATCTTTTTGGCTGCGATTTACAAAGGAATGCGGCCCTAGGCGTTTCATACCGGCTCTTAGAACCAAATCGGTAATTATTACTAATGTATATATTTCCAATCTCAAAATAGTTACGAAAGAAATATTTCTTTTTATGATAATGATTTTAATATTTTATAATATTTGTTTATTATATATATTTCTTGTAACAATAATAATATTTTTGATGGTAAAATATAAAACAACTTTCGTTTAAGAAATTACTTTTATTTCACATCTTCAACAAAATGAAATTAGAAATCTATATTTACTCTTGTATGAACCAATCAGATCGCTCCCTGGTTTGTTATTTACATCATGGCTGCCAGTGGGAGACAGGTACGCTGCTGAAATAATAATTTCTTTTTTCTCTGCTCTTTAAACTTTTTTGATGTTCAATTTTGATGAGATATTTTTTAAAAGTTCAATTTATTCAAGGAGAATGCATAAATATGGTGATTGCTGCCTACTTGTTTATTCTCCCTCGTAAAAAAGTCAACCATGACGTTTCAGCCAAGTATTAGTCCGAATTATTCTGACGTTTTATCGACTTTTTTATATCGGTCTGTCGTCGATTTACGTCGTTAATCGACGACAGACCGATTTAAAGAAAGTCGATAAAACGTCAGAATAATTCGGACTATAAGCCCCTTTGATTCAGCCAAATTGAAGTCAATCGGGATGTATTTTAATGTATTGTTTTCATTTTCGCACGTAAAACATGTTATCATAATTTCAGCACACCAGTCAGGTTTTAAATATAATAAACATATCGGTTTCCCTCTAGCTTTTCTCTTGGGAGAGGATGGATTTCCCTTTAGTCTTTAGCTCTTATCGGTAGTCCGAGTTTCCTCTTGCCCAGACACCACACTCTAACATTTGATTGATATGTGTCTGATGTAGGGACATCTATCAGTCAAAATGTCTAAGTCTAGTGTCGGGACCAGAGAAAATTCAGGCTTCTCTATCGATAGAGTACCAACATAGTGTTACAGGACCGGGATTCGAACTAGGGACCCTCCGAACTCTAGACTAACACTCTGCCAATTGAGCAACCTGGTCACCAGTGAACAATCCAGTCCAGATCTATCTATCTTTCTACCTATATATTCTGCATCACCCTCTTTCGAGTATTATGTGTAGCGTGCGCATCTGTGCATGTTAAAAGGTATTGTGTGGTGACCGAGATAGAAATGATAAAGTGCGGACTGATCTGCTACGTTCCTCACTCCTTTTTCGCCTCCACAGACAACAGCATTTGTTACTACCCAGGTTCAGGTAATCCCTTGCCAAGTGGATTCCCAGTTTTTCAAACAAGAGCTGGTCACAAGCACCCATAAAATGCAGAAGAAAAATGCATGGCAAGATTGGGATGCGAACCGGACCTCGCATAATTGAAGAAAGCCTCTACCTGGCAATTAAGCTAACTGGTCACAAGCGAATGATCCAGTCTAGTTCTGCTACATTTGTAGATAAATTAGCCTATCTAATTCTGTCTTAACAGGATACTGGGAATGAAAATGACAACAATATACAAGCATGGAAACGCAAGACAGAAAAGGCAAAGAAATCAGATATCTTCAAAGAACTCAATAAGCTGCGTGTACAGTGAGTATGGTTGAATTAAGAATTGCTCAGATTACGTACAGTACTGTTTACGCTAAATTACATCCCAAGTTATATTTCTTATTTAGAACTGTTGAAAATTTAGAAGATTATTATTATGTTCAATAAGTTCTAGACCTTTGTAAGTAACTATAACATCTCAAGTCTGATAGATATGCTGACACTAGTAAAAATTGTATGGGGGGAGGCAGCTGGTGGAAATCAATATAGCCACTAGCCTAATGTGGCTTCTGATAAAGTCATAGATATTTGTAAGTCATTTAATCAAATTTCTTCAATGCAAAAAATAGTGTCAGCAATCTTGTTAAACGAAAATTGAATCAGGAATGCTTTATCTAAATCATGATTGTTATATATAGTCGTAAGAATAGCTTCTCTGAATTTAAGTTGCATTGTTACAAACACGACTCTAAATAAAAATTCTTGTATCTTGTATCTTTAAGATTATCATATCTCAACTAGTTTATTTCATAATGTACCTTTTATAAAACTCATAACCTGTAAATTGAGTTTATTTCAATGTGATCATGAAATTTATTTTGTTACAAAGCACTCTTTGCTGCTTCCATTGATACTGTCCCTATAGTAACTTGAAGCAAAGAGAATCCATGGGAATCTGAATGACACATGCATAAAAGTTCATCAAATTAAACTTAGTATTTAAATTTTTAATTTGAACTTCACATTATTATTTTACTACAGGATCGTTGCCCTTGACAGAGAAAAATCAACACATCTGTATAGCAAGAGAAATGACTTCCGTCAAGAATTTCTTCCACTACAAGAAATGGAAACCAAGGCTACAGAAAGTCGAAAAACAGAACGTAAGCTTGAATAGTTTGAAGCCATATTTGATGCCATAAGATGTTTAATGCATATATTTATTTTTGTTCTGCCCCCACCACAACAGTGTCTAAGTTAAGTGGTTGCATTTTCCATCTGTTTTATTAAGAAATATTGGTTAGACGTTGTATTTAGCTCCATTTTTCTGATACAACTCCCACAATCATCAAACTTTATATGCAGATACATCTTCAGAAGTACTACTTTACATCATTATATGATACATTAATATGATGGCACTGTGACCTATATTTGTATTCACTGACTTTGGTCAGACTTTGCATTTACCTACATTATCATTACAGCAGGAGTGGCAGCATGTGTATGTTTTACAAACATTTTCTATTTTCGTGATGAACACTACCAATATGTACCATTCTGGAAAGACTTTTTTTTATTAGGAAGAACAGATATGTCAAGAGAAATGTGAAGAGCAATCAGTATCTTGAATCGGTCATTAGAAATATACAATGATTGTGTATATAAATATTGTGTGTATTAAGAATATGTATTTTTTATACGCCTGTCAAATTTGACGGGAGTATCGTAAACTTTTGTTTGTCCGGCAATCTCTTCCTACATTTTTCGACCAATCTCTTTGAAACTTGGTATACATCATAATCATGATATGAAGTTGTGTCTCCCTTAAAAGAATTTTGATTTGACAATTTTTCCAAAAGTTATTGCCCTTTGTTCATTTCAGTTTTTGATTTTTGTCCGGCAATCTCCTCCTACATTTTTCAACCAATCTCTTTGAAACTTAGTATACATCATAATCATGATATGAAGTTGTGTCTCCCTTAAAAGAATTTTGATTCTACAATTTTTCCAAAAGGTATTGCCCTTTGTTTATTTCAGTACTTGATTTTTTGTCCGGAGATTTTCTCCTACATTTTTTTATAGCATGTCAGCTAAGTTTAGCTAACCACTCTTAGAATGATGCAGATCTTATTTCAATGAAAGAAATTATATAACACTATATGACATTCCAGGGGCGTATATTGTTCTGCCCCACGGCACTCTTGTTATTGGTTAATATGATAAATCGTGAAAAAGATGTAACAATATGTGATTTTGTTAAAATATAACCCCTGTATAAAAGTTAGGGGGGGGGGGGGGTATAATGAAATCAGGGTGTCTGTCTGTCTGTTCATCTTTGGACAGAAGTTTGTGCGACACTTTACTGCTAAGCTTCTTAACTGATTTTTATGAAACTTGCTTCACATGATTATTATCTTAGGTAGTTGTGTACTTGAAATTTATTTTTGATTTAAATGATTTGTTGGGAGTACTGTACCTTTTCTGATATCCATTTATGGATATTGTCAGAAATACTGCGACTTACCTTCTTGACATACACCATGTTGTTTTCAAAACTTGGTACACATGATCAGTACTATACTATTAGTTGTGCACTTGCAATTTATTTTGAAAATTGACAATTTGTCTTAGAGTTATGTCCCTTTTCTGATTTCTGTTTGTGTTTTTATGTGGGTAGGATGTTTGATGTATTGACCCTGTGGCTTACAGTTCTAGTTATTGGTGTTGTTTCTTTCAGAAATCAAATTAAAACAGCAGCTTGAGAAGATCAGCCATATGGTCAAGAGATTTCATACAGAACTCAAGGATGTGAAGCCCACACCAGAATGTATGTTTTTGTATATCATAATATGTGAAGGGAAGGTAGTGGTCTTTTACAGTATTATTCATCAATTATGACCAACATCATATTACATAAAGACAACTTTCAAAAATGTTTTTCCTTCTGTATAACATTGTAGAGAATATTTCAAAATGACAAAATCAAAAACAAGTTTTTGAAAAGGCACCAGAGTATTTTATATATGTTGATTAGATCTTGTTGTGTGCTTCAACTGTTTTGTTTAATATCAATATTGGGCAGGCAATTTATTTCAGTAAATAAATATGTAATCATATTCAAAAATTCTAAAGATCAAGTTTTGTTATTGATTTATTTATTTTTAATCTGTAGAATTACTTACAAAATAAATTGAAGAACTCTTACAGTCGACAAAATATTCAGTAACAAACAGTCCTGATTGTTTTACTTTTACTGTTCAAAATCTGGGTCGCTTTCAGTTAGAAAATATACATGCCGGAGCATTCCAAACTGGAACTGTATTACAATAGTACATGATTGAATGGTTATTTTGCCTCCATATATATTACAAGTTCTCTTGGTGCTTAGTTTTTTCAGCAATGGCACCTCCCTCAAAATATTGACAAGGGAAAAATAACAAGCACCAAAACATTGAAAGTGATTTCCAATTTATTGAATGACTAGATATACAGTAAGACACTGGATGCATCTAAGCATAACACAACACTTACACAATCATTAATTTGTGCCAGTTTAAAAAAAAAATGCAACAACATCTGATAAAAAAAAGGTGGCATACCAGAAGGCCAGTTTTCGTTTTAACTTTCCAATTGTTGAATATAATCATATCTTTGTATGAAAGAAACATAAAATTTTGAAGAATTGAATTCATGATACAGATGTTTATAAGATACAAAGAATTTTATTTTTCAGTCGTAGAAAAGCTAAAAATCATCATGGAAGAAATAGAAAGCACTATAAATGCGTTTAAGGAGCAACAGAGAAAACAGTGAGTATTTCCGGTCACTGATAAATATACCTGTATGACATGTATTTGTATGGCTTGCTACTTTGTCTAATTTTCTTTATGTCTTCTGGTACATAATGATATAAGGAACATTGCATACAGGACATAATTATAAAGTTAGCATAACCGTCAGTAGTCCTGCAAGATTAATGAGCATGGTCAAAAACTTAGACTGTATAAAAAATTCATCATCAATATAAGATTATTGCTTACAAATTTATTGATAATAATGTGTACATTATTCCAAAACTGTGCAGTCAGAATTTCAGGTTAGTTTGGGTGACAGCTTCCTCATTTATTAGTGTTTGTATGCTGCTGTGTTTTTGACCAGATATGAGGAGTTGATGCGAGAGGAACGGACAACTACGCAGGAGATCCTGGCCCTGGAGAAGAAGTTTGAGGTATGGACTCAAATGGGAGATGATTTACCATCAGCCAGGAAGGTAGCCCCCTCTGCTCCTTTGGCTAGCGCTAGGGACATCACCAAGGATCTTCCTCCAGAGGTGGCCGCATTTGAGGTAAGTGCTGTTTTAAAGAATATTCTGTTGAATTATGGGTGGTGAGAAATCAGAATTTAGACATGGTGTTCATACTTACATGGATATCTCTTTAAACCACTATTTTCCTGATGTGAATGAGCTCAAAATGTTTTGATTCACAAGGATTTATATTGGTGAAAAGAACAATAAGTATACTGTAAAAGATCAATTAGTATACTGTAAAAGAACAATTATTATACTGTAAAAGAACAATTAGTATACTGTAAAAGAATAATTAGTATACTGTAAAAGAACAATTAGTGTACTGTAAAAGAACAATTAGTATACTGTAAAAGAGTAATTAGTGTACTGTAAAAGAACAATTAGTATACTGTAAAAGAATAATTAGTATACTGTAAAAGAACGATTAGTATACTGTAAAAGAACAATGTATATACTGTAAAAGAAGAATTAGTATACTGTAAAAGAACAATTAGTATACTGTAAAAGAACAATTAGTATACTGTAAAAGAACAATTAGTATACTATAAAAGAACAATAAGTATACTGTAAAAGAGTAATTAGTATACTGTGAAAGAACAATTAGTATACTGTAAAACAAAAATTAGTATACTATAAAAGAACAATTAGTATACTGTAAAACAATAATTAGTGTACTGTAAAAGAATGATTAGTATACTGTAAAAGAACAATTTGTATATTGTAAAGAACAATAAGTTTACTGTAAAAGAACAATTAATATACTGTAAAAGAATAATTAGTATACTGTAAAAGAACAATTAGTATACTGTAAAAGAACAATAAGTATACTGTAAAAGAATGATTAGTATACTGTAAAAGTATGATTAGTATACTGTAAAAGAATGATAAGTATACTGTAAAAGAATAATTAGTATATTGTAAAGGACAATTAGTATACTGTAAAAGAACAATTAGTATACTGTAAAAGAATAATTAGTATACTGTAAAAGAATAATTAGTATACTGTAAAAGAATAATAAGTATACTGGAAAAGAACAATTAGTATACTGTAAAAGAACAATTAATATACTGTAAAAGAACAATTAGTATACTGTAAAAGAACAATTAATATACTGTAAAAGAATAATTAGTATACTGTAAAAGAATAATAAGTATACTGTAAAAGAACAATTAGAATACTGTAAAAGAACAATTAGAATACTGTAAAAGAACAATTAGAATACTGTAAAAGAACAATTAGAATACTGTAAAAGAACAATTAGAATACTGTAAAAGAACAATTAGAATACTGTAAAAGAACAATTAGAATACTGTAAAAGAACAATTAGAATACTGTAAAAGAACAATTAGAATACTGTAAAAGAACAATTAGTATACTGTAAAAGTATGATTAGTATACTGTAAAAGAATGATTAGTATACTGTAAAAGAATAATAAGTATACTGGAAAAGAACAATTAGTATACTGTAAAAGAACAATTAATATACTGTAAAAGAATAATTAGTATACTGTAAAAGGACAATTAGTATACTGTAAAAGAATAATTAGTATCCTGTAAAAGAACAATTAGTATACTGTAAAAGAATAATTAGTATCCTGTAAAAGAACAATTAGTATACTGTAAAAGAATAATTAGTATCCTGTAAAAGAACAATTAGTATACTGTAAAAGAATGATAAGTATACTGTAAAAAAACAATTAGTATACTGTAAAAGAACAATTAGTGTACTGTAAAAGAACAATTAGTATACTGTAAAAGAATGATAAGTATACTGTAAAAAAACAATTAGTATACTGTAAAAGAACAATTAGTGTACTGTAAAAGAACAATTAGTATACTGTAAAAGAATAATTAGTATCCTGTAAAAGAACAATTAGTATACTGTAAAAGAACAATTAATATACTGTAAAAGAATAATTAGTATACTGTAAAAGAATAATAAGTATACTGGAAAAGAACAATTAGTATACTGTAAAAGAACAATTAGAATACTGTAAAAGAACAATTAGTATACTGTAAAAGTATGATTAGTATACTGTAAAAGAATGATTAGTATACTGTAAAAGTATGATTAGTATACTGTAAAAGAATGATAAGTATACTGTAAAAAAACAATTAGTATACTGTAAAAGAACAATTAGTATACTGTAAAAGAACTTATTTCAGTGCAATCAAATTTTAGCGTATTATCAAATTTAAACAGATTAGCGCATTGATGAATTGGCACAACCAAAATTTATGCAATAGGAAACTATATTCAGAAACTTCAATTGGTGTAATCATCATGTAGCGCAGTATTATAGCACTAAAATGAAAATACTATTAAAATATGTTTGTCTACAGTACTTTTTGATGCGACCAGTCTGAATAAGAATTAACAAAGAGTCTTCTCAAAGATATAGTTGATATAAGATATCTTGTGGATTTTTCTTGAATACAGATATCTCTCTACATGAATATGGGATATTTTGTGAATTAATAGGTATGAATATTTCATGAATATGTTCTTGAACATTTAACAAGTACTGTGAAATGGTTGAAACATTTGGTGGGATGATTTTTCCTAATGAAACATTGTTTGATCTCTTTCTAGAAATTCCTTGAGCAGACAGGTGGCATACGAGGAGGATGGGACGAATATGATCATCAAACATTCCTTAAGTTTAGACATAGAAACAAGGTAAAACTTCAAGTCTGGTAGATTATTATAATATATTATCACTTACAAACGTCAATTTCATGTGTTAGGAGTTTTAGTCTAATCTTGTCAAGTTAATAATCAAACAATTTTATGACATCACGATTTTGATGAGTAGAATGTGTAAACATTTTTGGAGATCAGAAAATAAAAAACATACATATTTGACAACAATTATGAAACAAGTTATTTCAACTTATATTAATCACTCTTGTTGGCTCAGATCTTCATGTCTTGGTGTAAGTCAGAGTGTGTTATCCACTGCACAACCCGACCACCCAGATTAGACTTCCTCGTTCTTGGTAATAAAACAAAAAATATTCCCAGTGAAAAAGTCAATTTAATTATTCAGTATTTATTGTCTGTCATGAATTCTTATATATTTCGGGGTGTGATTTTACAGCTTACAGATATAAGCGAGTGTTATTTACATTTCAGGGTCGGCCAGCCTTCCTGCAGCAATGTCTCATATCTATTCCAACTCGTACTGAGGAAGAGATTATGAACCATGAGGAATGGTACCAAACTTACTTAGACATGAATGAAACCAAGAAAGAAAGCATACGCAAATGGAAGGATAGAAAACAGGTACAGTATCAAGTTTCTGTTAAAAACAGGAATTCTTTATAATTTTGGTAATGGTTCAGATTATGTGATAAAAACATATTTACTATACTTAAAAGACTGTTTTAAGTCGACAATATTGGATGGGAGTATTGCAATCTGTCTGTCAGTCTGTCAGTTCATCCCTCCTTCACTTTGTCCAGGGCAAATCTTATTTAATCTTTGTGGTACTGTATCCAGATTTTGTGTGCGAGTACAACTTGGTATACCAGTGTTGTATGCATGATAAAGTTGAGTATCTGGCTCCATTATATAGAGTTACGGCTGTGGGTCCATCATGTGTCGCTTTATCAGGAACATGTCTCCTACCCATTATATAGAGTTATGTCCGTGGGTCCATCATGTGTCGCTTTAAGAGTTACGTTCGTGGGTCCATCATGTGTCGCTTTATCAGGGATATGTGTCCTACCCGTTCATTTTGGGTGAACAGTTATCTCCCGTTAGACTAACTCCTACCTTTTTGTTAATGACCAGTGATTCTCTATTTGTACAAGTTTTACTTATATTTGAAAGGATATTAACCAACATTATTTCTGGGGTTTTTCTCTGTATGCATATGATAACAACAGTATTTTTCTACAGCGAGAAAAGGAAGACCTTTTATCTGTAGCTGATGATAGTCTCAACAACAAGAAGAAGAGAGAAGAGGAAAAACAACAAGCCATGAAAGAAAGAATGGAGGATGAGAAAATGGGAAGATTTTCAAAACTGAATGCATGGAAGGTAATAGATGTGAAGACCTGTAAGTTTGATATCTGCTGCTTGTATATATAAAGTAAACCACAAGCTGGTCTGATGACTAGTCTTCTGTCAGTGGAGAGGGACCATCTGTTGGTGAAATGGTACTAGGAAACGGAAATGAATTTAAACATATTAAGAAGAGCTTAACATAATGTTCAGGAGATCAACAAAGTTGAAATCTCTAAAGTGAAAAGTAGCTGATCCGTATTCTTTTCAAACCAGTTTTGTTAATCTATGTTATCTGCTGATCAGTATCTGAACATTGTTATTCATGAGAAAACTTGCTTTCCAAATAATTACGATCATTTCACAATTTATTTTCTCTTTCAGGTTCAGAAAGAAATTGAAAGGGCAGAAGCAGAAGAAAAGAAACTTAGAGAACAACTTGAGAAGTCCAAGAAAGTGGGTGACTTCAAAAAACGACAGGTATTGACAATATGGTAGAAAACGATTTCTTGGTAGATAGGGTTCTGACAAAACATTTATGATATTGATACTGATTGACTTTTAGAGAATAGAATAAAATAATAGATATCCAAGATCTACTTTAATCTGTCTGACTGAAAAAGCTCGAGAAGGCAGAAAGGCCTAGCAGTAGATCTTGGATACTTATTATTTCATTCTATATTTTCCTTCGCAAGAATTAACTTGTTTATTTATCATCTACTATATATATATATACTGTCCTGTTACAGACCGAAATGAAGGCTCAGGTGGAGGAATACAGAAAAAAACGAGAAGAAGAGGACGAGTTTGTAAGGATCCAGCAGGAGGCATGGGAACAAGAGCAGAAAGAAAGACAAAAGCAGATCTCGGCCAGAGAGATATCCAGGTTTAGAGAGCGGGTAAACGATTTCAATAAGATTTTGAATAGTTCAATCACTTTCAATTCTTCTGATAGATACATATTCTGATTTTTAAAAAAAGTAGACAAAACATTCGACTTTTCGTAGATGTATAACCTGATTGCTATTCTTTTTATTACAGATTTAATATTTAATTGAAATCTTTACTATGCATCCTGGGAATATGCTTAAACTGAACTGAATTAGAGAATTGTATATATCTATATGTTAAATGTATTATAACCCCAATTAAAAACGATCGTTCAAAACAACATAAACAATTCTGTTTTACCTTTTCCTGTGATTTTGGATCATAATGCAATTTAAACGCACATATTTGCAAATTGGCAAAACTAGACAGATTTTTAAAAGTTTTGAACAAGTCATCAATGTTCACACCTGGCTGTAAAAATCCATCAGTACACGTATAATCAGTAGACATATCCTGTATTGTAGTTCACCCTATAGGTATCCACGGTCCACCAGTACATGTATAATCAGTAGACATATCCTGTGTTGTAGTTCACCCTATAGGTATCCACAGTCCACCAGTACACGTATAATCAGTAGACATATCCTGTATTGTAGTTCACCCTATAGGTATCCACGGTCCACCAGTACATGTATAATCAGTAGACATATCCTGTATTGTAGTTCACCCTATAGGTATCCACGGTCCACCAGTACACGTATAATCAGTAGACATATCCTGTATTGTAGTTCACCCTATAGGTATCCACAGTCCACCAGTACACGTATAATCAGTAGACATATCCTGTATTGTAGTTCACCCTATAGGTATCCACAGTCCACCAGTACATGTATAATCAGTAGACATATCCTGTATTGTAGTTCACCCTATAGGTATCCACAGTCCACCAGTACATGTATAATCAGTAGACATATCCTGTATTGTAGTTCACCCTATAGGTATCCACGGTCCACCAGTACATGTATAATCAGTAGACATATCCTGTATTGTAGTTCACCCTATAGGTATCCACGGTCCACCAGTACATGTATAATCAGTAGACATATCCTGTATTGTAGTTCACCCTATAGGTATCCACGGTCCACCAGTACATGTATAATCAGTAGACATATCCTGTATTGTAGTTCACCCTATAGGTATCCACGGTCCACCAGTACATGTATAATCAGTAGACATATCCTGTATTGTAGTTCACCCTATAGGTATCCACGGTCCACCAGTACATGTATAATCAGTAGACATATCCTGTATTGTAGTTCACCCTATAGGTATCCACAGTCCACCAGTACATGTATAATCAGTAGACATATCCTGTATTGTAGTTCACCCTATAGGTATCCACAGTCCACCAGTACATGTATAATCAGTAGACATATCCTGTATTGTAGTTCACCCTATAGGTATCCACAGTCCACCAGTACATGTATAATCAGTAGACATATCCTGTATTGTAGTTCACCCTATAGGTATCCACAGTCCACCAGTACATGTATAATCAGTAGACATATCCTGTATTGTAGTTCACCCTATAGGTATCCACAGTCCACCAGTACATGTATAATCAGTAGACATATCCTGTATTGTAGTTCACCCTATAGGTATCCACAGTCCACCAGTACATGTATAATCAGTAGACATATCCTGTATTGTAGTTCACCCTATAGGTATCCACAGTCCACCAGTACATGTATAATCAGTAGACATATCCTGTATTGTAGTTCACCCTATAGGTATCCACAGTCCACCAGTACATGTATAATCAGTAGACATATCCTGTATTGTAGTTCACCCTATAGGTATCCACAGTCCACCAGTACATGTATAATCAGTAGACATATCCTGTATTGTAGTTCACCCTATAGGTATCCACGGTCCACCAGTACACGTATAATCAGTAGACATATCCTGTATTGTAGTTCACCCTATAGGTATCTACAGTCCACCAGTACAATTTATTGTATTGGAGCTACAGATTTTGACCAGGTAAACTGCTATAGTTTTAGAGGGAAAAGTATCAGTAATATGTGTAGTTCGAAGGAATCATATTTAATTAGAGTAAAACATCATAAAATTATTGTATATTTTTGTTTTCATTTTCAGGATCAGAAATCTATGGGCGAAAAATTGAAGAAGGATAAAATAAAAGAAGAAGAACAAAGAGAAAAAGAAAAACGCTTAGCTCGATTAAAAAGTCAGGTGGGTGTGTTGGATATTTATTTGGGATTATTAGCTCACCTGGGTACCGTTTTACAAAAATGGGTGTAACTTTCACCCGGACGTAAATCCGTATGTAAGCCGTACGTAAAAGTTACGGTCCGTTTCACAAAGCATGTGTAACTTATGAGTGGGTATAAATCCTTCCCAAAACTGTGTGTAACTTACACCACCTCCGGGGGGTCGTGTAAATCCATATGTATCTTTACACCTGCTGCCACGCTTGGTTTTTAGTGGCGATGGAGACGCTGCTTGAAAGCTTTGACTGAAGAACACGCAAGTGCTCTCCAGCAGCGTCCACCAATACGTCAATTTCTTTTGACGAGGCGTTTTGTATTCTTTTTTTTCTTCTGCCCACCTGTTGCGGGTGACAGTCCATCCATTTTGGGTCGTCTGTCAAATACAGCTTTTACACCTCCAACTGAAGAGTTCCTCTTGTTTTCGCGCAAAATTTGAACTTATGTACACTTGTTAAATATTTACGAACACGTAACTTACGGGAAAATTTACACCCGGTTTTGTGAAACGCTCTTAAGGTAAGTTACGAACGGGGACTTGCGTACTCGTAAATATACACACCAAGATGTAAGTTACACCCTGTTTGTGAAATGGTACCCAGGTCCAAAAGGTCAAGGTGAGCTTATATGCAATACTGTGATTTCCATTGAACATCTGTAGGTCAAAAGCTTCTTCAACCAACTTATTTTGACCCGCTGAACATAATATCACTAGATTGGACTGGAAGCATCCTGTGGTGAAGGGGATTCAAAATTGCACAAATGGAAGGGACTGACCCCTTTTGTATTTAGAAGTTACATTGTAGTCACAAAGTACGCCAAAATGTTTTCCTGTAACTGTAGGTTACTTAAAATTTGTAAGGCCTTTTTAATATGATACGCATTAAACATTCTGCAGTTCTTTAATTTCTGGTCAATGCTAAAGGTTAGGTAATGTACATGAAAGTTTCCCGCAAAGTAATATTTCTTATCTATAGTATACATAGATTTGACACACTTGGTGGTACCACTGTATATAAAGTAGATGTTATGTAACTAAAATTGCAAATGACAGGTAGAAATAATCATGATTCCTTAACTTGTGACTAGGTGGAGATAGAGGTTGATCGTGACCCCAACAGACTTCTACAGCCCACTGCTGGCTGGAAGTCAAGGACCAAGGAGATTGGCCCAAGTGGTTCTGGGCAGGTGATGCATATGCAGCACAGGTGAGTTTCTGATCCCTGTGATGTCATTAGGTGGTGTACATACATGGTGGAACCTTTTCTCTACAGTTAACCTATGGTATTGCTGTATACCTGGAAACTCATCCCAAGTCAAACTTCACCTGTAAAATCAGTATTTGCCTGGTGTAATTTTCACCCATACAAATGATTACTATATATGCTGTTTACTAGTCGTTGCTGTCTTAATAAATTCGCCCACATCATAGAGGGCGAAACAGATGAAATTTAACTGGGGTGAACATTTTGTGGCATAAAGTATACTTACAGAGCAGTTCTGTTACAGCCTTAACCCTTTTACCACTGTAGACCATAATGGACTCATCCAGATCAATGTATGGTAGAGTCTACTAAAGTTACCTAGGGGTGAAAGGGTTAAACTGATAAGCCTATTCCTTTGTTTACATTTGAGAGTCATAGCTGGAAAGTCGTAGCCTCCTACATATGACGTACATCAAATAATGTAGCAAAACAGGGCTCTATTTTTTGTGGAAAATATGTATACATGTAATATACAAGTAACACCAATTTTTGTTTGTTTCAGAGCTATTCCTTCCTGGAGACAAGGTTTACATTGATAGTATTGATGTCATTGATACAATACACCTTCAGCCAGACTGTAAATCAACAATGTGGGGACCAAACTCGGAACATTTATAAGAACCATTTCCTGTGATATGTTATTACATCCAAAATAAATTGACTTATTTGTACATGTTTTGTATTCACATTTTTATACATGCCCACAATTGCAAGGCATTACAACAAAATCTGGTTGCGGACTTGACATTGTTTTAGAAAAAATTAACAAAAACTGGCAATAGGTACGTCTGGACCCCTCAATCTACACATGCCAAATTTTCCTGAGGTCAGCCTCGGTTCAGATCTGTGCCTGTCGTTTTCTTTACAGGTTCAACCGTTTCAACTGGATACGCGAATGTGCCCCTAGTGTTCAAGGGTTAGAGGTCAATGTCACAATCACATACCTGTCTACTTCTCTACACACTTTCACACTTGTTAGAAGAGGATTGTGCCAACCCATATATCTAATCCTGCAAGTACTCAATAAACTTGTTTTATTTGGGGCAAAGTAAGTGGAGCAACACATCACCAAACCATTTTCAGTTTATTCATTTAGCTGTAAATTATAAAAGTACATCTCATTACATTCATTTACAATCAGTTATACAAAATATATCAAGTTTACTCAAACTACTTGAAGACAAGGTTATTTGACTGCCTTGATCTCACTCATGCTGTAGTTACCTTTTCACCCCATTAAATTATGTCCTTGGGATTTTCAAAAGAAATTTCCCAGTGTTGAATGTGTGCTCCTATTGAAGATACAGTTATGTACCATATTATTTCTGTATATAATCACACATATTCCAGTAACTGTCCATCTGTTTCAGAGATGAGTTATACCCAAAATGATCGTGTTAATATTTAACTAACAAAATATTGCTCTTACACACATGAATTCTAAAAAATCAGTATTGTAACTTATACATTACAAATATTGTAATTCTGCTCTCTCTCTCTCTCTCTTTCTCTAAATCATAAAATTCCCGAGAACTATAAATTTGTTTGCCATTATCTCTAGCCAAATCCTCTATACTGATATCAAGAAACAGCAGAGAGAATCATACCGTATCATAACACCCATGTACACCTGGTGATGATCGTACTGTTTGGGAAATCACATGAACCCTAACACAATTTGATGTCACCAATGTAAAAATAGTTCTATATTCCTACAATGGTGAACTATAATTTTGATGATCCCTTATTGTTTTCTACTGCACCATTACTAATAAAGCTGTTGATCTCGTTCTGCGAGAAGCCGATTTCCTGTAACACTTCAGATGTGTGTTCTCCTATCCTTGGGGTGGGATACACTTCGTCAACCCCTGGAGTTCGGGAAAGCCTAGGAGCAGGTGCTGGTTCATACCGACCCTTGGCGTCCTTTAGGAAACTCTTGTTATGCACGTTGTGTGGGTGTAAGGGGGCCTCATTGTGATCAAGTATGGGACTGTAGCAAGCGTCCAGACCATCAAACACAACATCCCATTCATCACGGCTCTTTGACAGGAACCTTTCCTTGAATTTCTGTCGCATTTCAGCAGGGTCATCAAACTGCGAAACTTCATTGCTTAACCCAAGTCCTGTACATAGAGAAAATATGCTGTAGTTTATACTTTATATGCTAAAACAAAGTTACGGTAAACCAACACAGTATCATCCTGTTCCAGTAGAGTTTATTCCAACACAGAGCTAAACAGTAGTCTTAATGGTCCATCATAACAGTAAGGTCATACTGGGACAAACAAGGGAATACATGGACAAGTAGTAGTCAAAACGACCATCAACACAATAAAGTTACAGGGACAAATAATTGTCCTATGGGTAATGGCCAATCAACACAATAAGGAAATTAAAGGAATAGTGTCAACCTCTGAAACCTCCAATGAGGGAGATCTTCCTCATTCCTTATTTCCAAGGGAGAAATAGTGTGAAACATGACTGAAACTACTTTGCTCAATTTATCTTTCACTTTTTACGTATCAAAATAACTCCAAAATAAATAATTCATTTGATTCAGACACACCTGTTATATGATCATTACACACACCCTGCAGTAGCTAGGAGACCATTTACACTTGTAACCACAGAATGCAGATTTTGAGTTAGTGTGAGTTTGAACTTGAATGAGAGTGTTTCGAGGGAGATTGGTAATTCTGGTCAAAATGAGGAAGTCTCCCTCCCTCAGAAGTTTGACAGCTATGAAAGGGACCATCATCATCTTCATGTCCCATCAACACAATAAGGCCATACAGGGACATAAAATAGTCCTAAACACCCATCAACAAGGACATATAGGGACAAATGATAGAAAATGGGTAAATGATTGATGCATGTAAGACAACAGGTGGTTACAGGACAAAATGAAATTCTATAAGTAAAGCATGCTCAAATTAAGACATGTTATACAAATAAATTCAGATACTTCTGTCTTACTTTGCTCTACTATTGTAGTACCTGTAGGTGACACAGAAACAAAGTTACCAACCTTTTACTAAATCATTGAAAAACTGGGGTTCCAGGGCACCGACACCTACATATTTCCCATCCTTGGTTTCGTAAGTGTCATAGAAGGGAGATCCACCGTCCAACACATTATCTCCTCTTTCCTTACCCCAGATAGGCATAGGTCTGGACTTCCACAGCCATGTTCCTGTGTGACAATACAGTTACTACAATGTACTAGGTAGTGTATGAAGTTCTGTTGTGGATCAACCTGTAAGCTATAAACGATAATTCAATGTTTGATTACATGATTTGTGTATAGTTAACCACATAAAAAGTCTTCATCTCATTTGTTTCACTATTTGAAGAAGATGATACTTCAGCTACATTTCTTGACTATGATGATTTGGTAAAACTAAAGTCCAAAATGAAGAGATCATTGAGAAGTTGATAAATTTCAAAATAGACTGGAATATATTTTGTTAAAATGATGGATTTAGAAATATTTAAAAACAAAAAGAGCAAGAATTGTCACCTTCACCTAAAATTAATAATGCCATCATACTGTTAATAGTTAAATCAAAATAGTTACATGCGACATTGACAAAAAATAAAAAAATCAGTGTCATGTAACACTTCAGACCATGAAAAAAATTGTCATAAAAGAAATTAATATCACTGTAGACACAGCCAAAAACCTGAATGTTCCGAATTCATACTAGCTAAACAGGTTACACAAAGGGATGACGACAACACATTATGATACGACTGATCCTGTACTTTTACTGTCTGTGACATACCAATGTAAGCCGAGCCTTCCACCATGTTGGAATCTATCACTTGACCTTTGCCCGAGGTTGACCTTTCAAACAAAGCCATAGTGATCCCAAAAGCACAAGTCAGGCCACCTCCAGCGAAGTCTGCCAGCAAGTTGATTGGAGGATATGGACGTTCTCCCTTCCTTCCCAGCTGACCAAGAATACCTCAACACAATACACAAAATTTATAGCGTAAGTAAACTATGGCGTCTTGTATTAGTAATTACAACCGGGGACACTGTAGTCTAGTGGTAGGACGCCAGGCTCGCGACCGAATGGTTGCGGGTTCGAGTCACGGCAGGGCACTGTGTTGTATCCTGAGCTAGACACTTTACTCCGCTTGTTCCAGTCTACTCAGCTGTAAATGAGAACGTGGTTGGGCAGTGCTAGAATTGTAGAATGCTAGCTGTGAGCGCCGAAATGGCAGCACTCCCCAGGGAGTTGAGAAAGATGTTGGCTGGTTGCAAAGGCCCTATAACCACAGATAATAATTTGTGAACCGCTTTGAGACGACCTACGAACTAGGTTGTGATAAAGCTGTATATAAGAATCTCAAATTATAAATTATCGAATTATTAATGGTATATATGTACACAACATGTATAAAACTATTCTGTTAGGTTTTGCTATATTCCGATATCTATACCCAGACATTTATGAAGAAAGGCAAACATTGGTATAACTATAACATACATATCATGAAGTCATGTGGATTAATAGAATCATTCTCCATCTCGGGAGGGAGATTAACTAAACCCTCATCAGATTCTCACACTGGACATTTATGAATCAAATAAGAACTCACTCCTTGGGTTCAGAATTTTATATCTCGTACCGAAAGTTGGTAATGACTATATTTCTCCTATCCTGAGATGTGATCGTTTTGACAAGAAGAATGATTTCTACGCCAATCACTGATCTACATTACAATCTTCCGATAAAAAAAGTAAAAAATGTTATTCTATTGTTGCTTCCAGTTCAACATGTATATCTTGTACATGGAAAACTGATATTTCCCAAATGATTAAAGGTGGTGATAGAAAAAATGTTCTTACCAGGTCAAATACAGATAAAGAAATCTCCTAATTCTATTGGGTTCCTGGATATATAGGCCTTACAATATTCAGTTATTAACTGGTAGTCATATTTTGATGATCACTCATTTTGCAAAGGTGATAAATATTTGAACTGTGTCTACCTGCCAGAGAAATGTAGTTGACGTCATGCCCAGCTTTAGCTGCCCAGGGTCCCTGCTGACCAAAACCAGTCAATCTGGCATACACTAGTCGTGGGTTGTCTGACAGGAGTTTGTCTGGCCCCAGACCCAGTTTCTCCATCACACCTAGTGCAGAAGGGAAGACACTTAACAAAATATATCACATAACCTCTTAAAGAAATATACTTCCTTATGGAGACATTTACCACTGACTTCCTGCAAACTGATTCTATAAATGGATTTTTTTTTTTCATTACTTGATGATTTCAAGGGAAATAACTGACATATTATACCTCATGTTATTTGCGGAACACTAATATTTTCCACATCATTTTCAAATGAATATTTTGTTTTGTGAAACAGTCACCATTTTTCCAATGTACAGTTAAAATTTAAAAAAAAAAGGTTATGTTTACAGTCGGACTTAAGTGTACAATACATTATATGGTTTAGACAAAGTTTAGTTTTTTGTAGAGTGCTGTCTGTTACCATATACTGTATATATGTATATGTATAGCTATGTGATTTACACACCTCCAACTTGAAAAGTTATTTTGGCACTAAAACACTGCAAATGATACACAAGTTTTAAAATGAATGGTATACACTACTATCAGGTATTTCAGTGAACAAACAGAACCTGTGTTGGAAGATAACAATATAAAATACCTGTCCTGAATGGTTCTATAACGACATCAGCTTTAGAACACATCCTCCTCACCACCTCCACTCCCTCCTTCTTCTTAAGGTCTACAGCCACAGACTGTTTGCCTCTCCCAAGTCTGTCTGTCCCCATCTGTGACTTCACCTGTTGGTTAATGTAAACAATTTAACTGTAATTACTTTTCTTATAAAGTTGACTTTGACACAGAACCATACTTACACTCAAGGTTAGAATCAGCCAAAAATTGCTTTTAAAAAGTAAGCACTGATGTTGTTTATAGCTGTGAATCGTAGCTCCTGACTACAAGAGGCCGGGTATTATATTTAATAGTACTATGTTGTTTCTAGGAAATAGAGTTTGTTTTCTTTTTTGCATTGTTTTACAGCCCATGCAGCTTAACTCATTTTGGGCCAAACAACACTGCAGAAATTGACACTCTCAAGAAGCTATACTAGTACATCAAATTATAAACTTAAAAGGTGGAGTATAAAGTATTCACTTACTCTGTCAACTCGGACAACCTTAGCCCCAAAGTCAGCTAATATCATTGCACAGAAAGGGGCTGGGGCTAGCCCTGCTAACTCCACCACTCGGATACCCTTCAATGCCATCTGTAAGAAACATTATCAATCAAACACATAGTCACCAATGAACAATGACTCTAGATACATGTAGCCAGATCAGAATGTAAATTAAAAAGGCATCACTGTTAAGATAAACAGGTATACATTAGGCTAACCTTTGATATGTCAGCACTAGCCCAGCTTCAGACACTTGGAATGTTAAATATTAGGATGACCCATCCTTATCCCAATGACTTACCCTCCAATTATCTGGAGCTGGAATTACATATCACCGACTGATGACATGTGACTGAGAATTAAAATATAATCATAGATGTCATCCTCTGAAACCCCCAATAAGGGTTTTAGTGAATTTTGAATAGGCACTGAACTCATTGGAGTAGAGCACGGAATTACATCAGGTTTCACATTTGATGGAATCAATTAAACAGCCTCATTGGCGAAATACGTAAGTATTTTTGGTAAACATATCGGAGATCATTTTCAGTGGTCACAGTTTAGATGATATCTGGATCTGGTGACAATAGCACATTATGTTAGACCGACCACAGACGTCTATTATATAAAGTACAGTATAGGCTTTTTTATGGAGCTGACCATGTACCACTGTACTATCTTTTCTCAAGTTCCTCTTTTATATCCTTCCTTCATCTCATAATCAAATTATAAGCATATGTGATCAAATTAAAATGAAATTCAAAATGTAATAATTGTAACATGCCACTTTTATCACATCAAATATTATTATTATTATTGATATAAATTTAAATATGTTTTATTGGATGCTTCCTCTCTATTTTTATCTTTTACAGCATGAACATATCTTGTTTAATTAATGAAACCTTCTTCTTTAAATTACGGCCGGCTCCGTCAATTGTGACGTTTATGCCCTCGTCCTTGTTTTTTGTATGTTTTATTTGTTATGTCGATTGTAAAAGCTCACTAAACGAGCTTGTGTTTATCTTTGTTATGATATCGACGTTAAATAAAATTTACTTGACTTGACTTGATATGTATACAGTAGTTGTATGTATATACGCCTCTGAACCGACGACTAGACAGAATGTGTGAAAGTGAAAGTAGCGACTCCAATACGTTACGTTACCTCGACACATTAAGTGACATATGCCAACAAAACAGTTCATTAAATATATCTGGTAACGTTAATTGATTTGCAAAATAACTATTTAGATGCGTGTTGAAAGAGTTACCGTGCTGGAGACGATCAGTTGTCCTTCTCGTGTGGCCTTTGGTCGATTTGCCTTGATCCATTGGACTTAACACTAAAAGTTTGTACGGATAGCGGGATCAAATTTCCGCCAAAATGTACTAAATAAAAGTTTGCACACGAGACGGTGAGATGTGTTCCGAAAATTGCTATCCAACATAGAGAACATTACAAAAAATAACGTTCAGTTACATTAAGGTTGAAGAGTTCAACTCAAATGAAATCAATTTTAAATTTATTTTAAATACGGATTTTAAATATTGAATTTCAGACAGAAATGGTTTATATATGGATTGTAATCTAACGCTTTATGGATTTTCGATCTTAAAAAATGACACATACAATTAGCTGACATTCTATTAAACATACAGGATGTGTTATTCTAAATTCCCTTGCGTACTATCTACATGTTAAATACAACACACACAAAAACTCTGGTTAAGAAGAGTATTTTCAAATGTGATACCATGGAATTAGACCTTAGTCCATGGTGATACCTATTATTGGTTTCGTTGAACTTTAACCCCTGGTACTGGAAGCTTTCGATCTCATAATAACGTCGTCTTCGTTAGTCATCCAAACAAATAGAACTACATTTTACTCAACACAAGAAAATATCAATTTTCTGAAATATGCAGATGATAGGATTTTACCAGTGATCATTATCTGTGGTCTCCCTAACGACCTCAGTTACATTTGAATATGTAGGCAATACAGGAGTCACTAAAAGAACTCAGTTGTGTATAGAAACAGACTGTGATTCCCAACACCCTTAATTTTAGGAAACACAAGGGATCCCTTAAACTCACTTTATCTGCTTGAAGGGACTCCCTAATGGATTCGATGGTATATAGGAAACAAAGTGCTCACTAACACTCTTATGTATGTAGGGACCAGAAGGTAAGACGACCCCCTAATGACCTTATCTGTATGTTGGAAGCACAATGGAGCAATGACGTCCTCGTTTTGTAAACACGCAACACAAGGAGCTTACATTATGTTTATATTAATATTGTAACAAAAAATGTCTACTAAAGAGCTTCTCGTGCGAATGGATGACGACTGGGAAACTAGAACGTTGGTCCTTTAATGTCGAGTCTGGAATAGAAAGAATATAATAGAAGCTTCTTCCCCTTTCTTGGGAGTATGGCACAGGAATTTCTACTCTGAGAATCGGAAAGGACTTTATGGGTCATTTTTGGCCTCATAAAAAAAGTAAAAAATTCAACTTGAATATATTTACCAATTTCTGCTATAAACATCATATTGGTAAGTTAGGGCAATCTTTCTTGGTGCAGATTTTGTTCCAATGCGCGTGCGTAGATACCCTTCCAGAGCAACAAAATAGCATTGCTTTGCAGAAATAGCCAAAATATGGTGTTTTTCGAGAGTTAGTTTTCAGAAATAAAAGCATCCGCATGTGACAAACAAAACATTACCAATCAACACTGGTATGACATTGTTTCAGCATGTCAAATATGTATTTGTTTGCTGCATGCGGAGGCTTTCAAAAATTGACCAAGTTCCAACCAAATTGCGCACAGCAGACGATATTCACGCATTTTATTATGAAAATACGGGTTTATGTCTCTCTTTGTAATGCCATGTATCTCCTAAATCAGTTGTCGAATAAATTTCACATTTCTTATTTGGCTACTTCATTTATTCCAGATTACAAATATAACTCATTCTAAATCCCCGATGAGGCTGGAAATGACCCTTAACGCCCCTAGTCCTTTCCCTGTTACACACTCATGGTAAGGGACGACTCCATTGACAGTATCCGGGCATATTTGATTCGAATGTCCCGTCGAAAGCTAATAAATAATTGTTCCCCAGACATCGTATCGCTTCTTTCTGTGTGCCATCAGTCATACCCTAGGGAGTTAAGAGATTTCTCCATCCAGTCATAAAATTATCTCCGATTTTACCCGTTCTTGATTCTTCTGTCACCCCCTAGAGTATGAGTTATCTGCCACTTTTACCAGCATGAGAGACACCACGTAAAAGTACTATAACGTCACGGTAACAATCAGATATGATGTCACAATCAGCTCTCTACGGGAGAGGTTTACAAAACTATTGTTTCCGACAAAGTATCGGAATGAAACAATTATACCCTCTCTTTAGAATGTAACAGAGAAATCTCCGACCCATAACGTCTCAATGCAAAGACAGACAATAAGACCACGCAAAACTGCGGCAAGTTTTACGTCATTTTAATTTATGTCCATCCTTATTTATACTTTGTAAGTAACACAAGATGATATTCTCAAGTTTGGTTGTCAAATTAAGTACGGCATATAATAAACTTCTATTCAAATTAGTTAGTAATATGACTTTTTTTTAGAATAGTACGATGTTAATTAATACATTATCAGTCTGTCTTGTGAGTATTAGCAGACAGTTGTTATTTCATGGCCAGTCTAAGGGTGCCCATTGATTTGGATAGCACAGGGGTCAAAGTTAGACAATGATTCAATCTATAGGATTTCCACCAGTTATGTCTATAGAATAACGAATCTGAATTATATATAATAACCGTCTCTCTCTGGCATTGCATGTGTTTTCACTCCATTCATCTCATTCGATATTTTAGGAAATCTATAGCCTGTATCTATGATATGATTTTGATAACAGTATATATCGTAATTAAGAACGAGTGAAACCAGGTGACAATATTACCAGATACTACCATATTCTCCCCGTAACGTACCGTAGTAAATTTGGGCGTAGCCTGTGCTACTGACCTAATCACAACTGAAAATAGTAGAATTATTTCCCTACATTTTAATAACTATAATAACACTACTGAAAAATGGAATTTCTGTCTAAATATATGTAATATTACATTAGAAGCAGACAATTGAAATAGTCTTTCATATGTTACAGTAACTATATTGCTGAAGGTTGGCTTAATTTCAATTTAGACGCAGGAGTAAAGTATCGATTTCATACGATAAACACGGTATACTTACAGACATGTTGTATAGAAGTCTAGCTGTACGTTAATACTGCAGATGAAATTGAGTCCAACCTGATAGGTAGGTTCTGTCGTGCTCCGAGTCAGGTCCCGCTTGCTTATAAGGTGCAGAGATCGAAATTCATCACAACTCAATTGATATGGAAAGGATGACAGGATTGGAATTCAATGCTGAACACTTTATTTCATAAAGTTAAATCCTGATCTTTTGTAGGAGTCGACGCTCACGTGCACCGACAAAGGGATTCAACAATTTAGAATTCGTTCATTGAATCAAGCGTGCGCCGATATCGATTAAAAACCAATTTGTGAAAAAAGGGCTATGTATATAATCATGGTATAACATCATTCTGGAGGACGTAAGATTCATCTTCTTTTCTGACAGTGTGGGCATCAGAATATGTGTTCACAATACCAAATTCTTTTAAAACACATACCGAATATTTCACTTTATATATTCAAGGCTGTATAGCGCCAGCGTAGTGTTAAATACACTGCGAGTTAACATTTCAATGCATAAACCTTTCAACCGAACACCGCCCATGTTTGAAGTACGATTTATTCCAGTCACATTTTGTTATAATTAATTTTGATGCGTTATTTTGAAGCTTAAAAGGAAATTTCAAGTTACTTGGGTGGCCCTTAAAAGGAACTTTATTGAGCTAGATTCCTACATGTGTAATCTACTTCTTAGATTTTTGTACAACAGGTTTCTTCGAAGCTGCCTTCATCTTGTTTGGAGACTTCTGCTTTGCACTCTTCTTTGTATATATTGATTTGATTTCTTCTTTAGCTTCTTTACTTTCTTAAAAGTCCTGAATCGTCCGGTTGCCTTCAGTAGCGCTGGGTCCTTTGTGTCTCACCAGCCTTAAGTCCACTTGCCAAATTCTTACAGATGGCGATAACCTGCTAGCAGAAAGAAACTCATACATTTTTTTTCTGATTGCTTGAACGGATTATCAGTTTTTGTTCTTCGTGCATGTGACAGCCGTATTGGCCATCGACAGAGTTGTGGGTTTCATAGCTCTCCCGTTGGACTTTTTGCTGCCATTTTTTTCGGTTTTGGCTCCTATTTCGATTCCTGTTCTAGGTACTTGCACAATTTTACAGCTTGACTTCTTCTTGGAATTCTTATAGTATGTGTCCTGTTTGATGAGAGGTGCTTCTGCTCCTGGAGCTTAACACGGACTTTCCTGCTGTCTCTCTTTACCCTCGGGATGGGGAGGCGGAACTTCTGCTCCTGGAGCTTAACACGGACTTTCCTGCTGTCTCTCTTTACCCCCGGGGTGGGGAGGCGGAACTTCTGCTCCTGGAACTTGACAGACTTTCCTGCTGTCTCTCTTTACCCCCGGGGTGGGGAGGCGGAACTTCTGCTCCTAGAACTTGACACGGACTTTCCTGCTCTCTATCTTTACCCCCGGGGTGGGGAGGCGGAACTTCTGCTCCAGGAACTTGACACGGACTTTCCTGCTCTCTCTCTTTACCCCCGGGGTGGGGAGGCGGAACTTCTGCTCCTGGAACTTGACACGGATTTTCCTGCTGTCTATCTTTACCCCCGGGGTGGGGAGGCGGAACTTCTGCTCCAGGAACTTGACACGGACTTTCCTGCTGTCTATCTTTACCCCCGGGGTGGGAAGGCGGAACTTCTGCTCTTAAACCTCGTACGCGGCGGCCTTCTTTGGTCTCTTCCTTTTAGCTAAAGAGGCACTTATGCTCACACTCCTTCTCTTCTACCTCTTCACCAAAAACCTTTTTTTGACTACGTGCCATTTTCTTATTTGCCACAGTAGATTTATTTTCCGAGAATAACTCGCCATGTCTTGCAAATCATTCAGCAGGGAAATAATTCGATCTTGTAGCTGTTATGCCTGCAGCACCAATCGTCATTTTGTTCAATTACGGCAGAATTTAAGCTAGATATTATTTGTGACATTTAAATAACGCATTAACCATTGGTGAAAGTTTATAACTTGATAAAACAAGAGGCAGCGGGCCTGTATCGCTCACCTGTTTCTTTTGTTACATGAAACTGACATATAGGTAACTCCAGACCAAATTTGGGAACTAAAACACAAGACATTTAAACATCTCTTAAATGGTTCTTAAGATTTTGTTGTTTGAAATTTGGTATTTGAATTTTAAAGCTTTTAACCCATGTTGATCTTTGACTCCGGCTAACACTTACAGTTGACCTTTGACCACATTATTGTAATTAAGAAAAATATTTGCACTGCTGGTCTCCATAACATACCCAAGTATCATAACTAGTCCAAATGGTTCTTAGGATATTGTTGTTTGAAGTTTTTAACATATTTGACCCCAGTGACTTTGAAAGTAGGTCAAGCTCATTTTCATTTGCAAACTTTGCTTTACGATATCATAAGATGGTACTGGCCAAATAGCAGGACCATGTCTTTCAGTTCTTCAGAAGAAGTTGTTTGAAGGTTTTGACCTATTGGACCCCAGTGATCTTGAAAGTAGGTCAAGGTCATTTTCATTCGCTTACCTTGTCAGGCTCTTTCTCAGGAAGCTTCCAGCCAAATTTGAAGATTCTATACATTTCAGTTCTTCAAAAGAATTTGTTTGAAGTGTTTGACATATTTGACTCCTGTGACCTTGAAAGAAGGTCAAGGTCATTTTCATTCGCAAACGTTGTCTGGCTCTTTCCCAAGAAGCTACCAGCCAAATTTATAGATTCTATACCTTTCAGTACTTCAAAAGAAGTCGTTTGAAGTGTTAGACAAATTTGACCCCTGTGACCTTGATAGTAGGTCAAGGTCATTTTCATTCGCAAACTTAGTCAGGCTCTTTCCCAGGAAGCTACCAGCCAAATTTGAAGATTCTATACCTTTCAGTTCTTCAGAAGAAGTCGTTTGAAAGAAAAAGTTTACGAACGCTGGACGGATGCCGGACGCGGTGCCATGACATAAGCTCACTAGCCCTTCGGGCAGGTGAGCTAACAATGTGGCACACAACGTGAATGTTAAAAGTACATTGTGTTCCCATATTAAATTTAGGTAAGAATTAACTCACTGAAGCTGCCAAAATAATGTGCAATATTTTTGTATAAAGTTACACAACCAATTTTAGATTTACAAACTTATATGTATTGAATATTTATTTATTTAATGAAAGGGTTTGTCATTTGTCTATATTAGCCAACAGCCCTCAATTAATTCTTTGTTCGGTATTTCTTCTTACTCTTAAATGTGCTGTTAGTTTAGTAGGCACATGTATGTGAATGTGTTTTCTTTATGTAATGTGTATGCAAGCAAGATTGTTTTATGTGTTGATATGCATGTACAACATTGTAAATGTACAAACTGTATGTTTATTGGTTTGCCTTTCAGACGTGTATATGTTTATTATAAGGCACACATGGGTATAAACGGTTATATGAGTGAATATAAGCAGGGAAGTATTAAGCATGCCATAGTGTGTGGTTGAATTCTGGCTGAGCAATGCTTGTGCAAACAGCACCATACATTTTTCATTGTAGTTTTTGACAGTAATCATCTCATGTTAACAACAACATCCCAAGAGGGACTGTACCGATCACCCACCTGGATATTTATGCATTTATGGCAAACTATTTTCATTATTAGTTAAATTTTAATAAGATTTGAGGACAGCGCCTGTCCCCTGAGGCCAATCCTTGTAGCATATGTGTATATAAATCTTCATGCTCAGCAATTGTGTTCATTATTATAGAGTGGGAATCTCAAATATTTCCATGTTCTGACCCTGGGACAAAGTGCCTACGAGTTGCCACAGACTCAAAGGCCATTTCTGGTAGCTTGATTGTTTTCATATTTTTATGTCCAGCAATTGTCTGATTAAGGGGTGGGAATCTCAACTGTTTCCATGTAATGACAAAGGCTACCATATCTGACCTGGATTTTTCAGGCACAGCAATGTTATATATGATTACTGGGTGCAGATCTCAATCCTTTCAAAGTTAAGACTAAGTACAGTATAGGATGGGGGCCAAGCCTGGTAGCTATGCTCGTTTGTCTTGCCATACTCGCCATATTGTATAAATGGTTATAGGGTGGGAATCTGACCCACTTCAATGTCAGTTATGACTGGGCAACCAAGTACCAAGGGGTACCAAGGGGCACCCTAAGAAAAATCCTGGTAGCATATCTAAATTTGAAGTTTCCTACATATATTGTTTTGGGATGGAGATCTCAACTGTTTCAAAGTTATGACCAAATGACTAAGTATACAAAGATGGGACAAAACCAATGTGTGTTTGTCTCTTTTTACTCAGCAATTGTGTATATAGTTATTGGGTGGGGACCGGAACTCTTTCCAAGTTGTGAACTAAGTCCTTAGAGATATGGCCAAATCCCAGGAGCAATTCTAATATCAGTTTGGTGTTGGTCTCTTTATACCCAGCAACTGTATATATTGTTTTGTAGTTGTGATCAGCTACGTTTCACAGTTATGAACCAGGGACTAAGTTTCTATGGGGTTGAGCCTAACCCTGGAGCCATCCTGTAGTATATTTGACTTGTATTTTTCTCTTTAACTGTGCAATTGTGTCACTAGTTACAGGTTGTAGATTTCAACTATATCCATGTGATAACCTATTTTTGGCCCTTCCCTCAGATCTTGGAGTCAGCCCATCAATTGGTAATTCACCACCAGAAAATGCTTCTTCCAAACAAATATGGTTGATATCCATCTCACTTTCAAGGTTATGGGGGTCAAACATCTTAATAGGAAGCAATAAAACAACTTAAAAATAGCAAAGAGAACTGGGGATCATATTTGACTTTAAGCAATCTGGATTGAAGAACCATCAAGTCTGGTTAACCTTGACCCCCTTTCAAAGAATACAGGGGTCAAATGTCTGATATTATTTTAAATTTGACCAATAGCATCCAGATGTGAAGGGCTATGTTTGTCCAAATTAGTTACCTTGAAAACTTTTGAAGGTTACTGGAGTAAAAACAAGTGAAAATCTTATAACAACAAAAAACATAAGGTGTAGAGCAATGATACGTGACCCTTGCTTGTTATCACTATTGTTTAAATGACCTTGATTCACTTTGAAGGTCACAAATATGAGATGAGTTTGCCAACAGCATCAAAGAACAGATTAGTGATACAGACCCGTTAGCCTAACGCTTAATGGGTCTGTATCACGGTATTCTGTTATTTGATGCTGTTGGCAAACTCATCTCATAATTTAGGTCTGATGAAACATTTGAATTATGACCAGATGCTGTGTTCTGTATCATATTTGGTACTGAAGGTCAAGAGTTCAGTAGGGGGTACATCTTTATAAGTTCCTATTTACTTCACTTTTCATTAATACATATATATATATGTGGTTGCCGAGTGCTGACATTCTGACCGGTATTACAAGCTTTACATCATGGCCAACTTTTCCTTATGAAGAAAAGTACATTAAAACCTCCTTATGCTGCCACCATTTGTCTAGCAAAATCTGGGTGTTATAAAGGTGTTCTGGAAATGTTTTGTTTTTTTGTTTTTTTACATCCTTCAAACAGTTATGGTCATATCAGGATGCAACAGGTTTTAGTTTGGAAATACATTAAGGGAGACATATAAAGGAATTGTTCAGAAATGTGGAAAAGGGGGCCCTGAAATATGCAGGCGCTAAGCAAGATGCCAATGAAATGAGTGGCGTTATATCATGGTTTTACCTGTCCTTTTTATCTCATCACATGACAAAGTTGTGCGACGGTATCCCCTACTTTGTCGGACAAGAGGTATGATGTATTTTGACCACATTTCCACCAAAGAGATCTCAGAAAAGCAGGTAAGAGAAATAGTTTTGACAATATTTTATTATTTTTATGGTGTTTTTTTTTTTTACATTATTTCATTGAGTTTGAGTACAGCAAGTACTTGACTCCCGATAATACAAACGGTATAACAAAACAATCTCGGACACTTCTACCATTAAAGCAGCGGCAATACGTCTAGCCATGATTGTCAACAAAATAAACTACAATTTACCACAAGTTAAAAACTGAACACATTTTCCTTCGCGATCTTTACAATTAATCTCATTAATGAATTACACTGCTGGTATGATAGCAAATCTCGCTTAAATATCAACCAACAATGATTTTACTTAAAACATGTACCTTAATGCTACAAAAATAAATAAAAACAATAATATCTGGATTTCAGAACCTTGTGTCCACTATAAAATATTGTTATTCTCTAGCTACATGCACAGTGTAATTGCAGCTCGCAGAACTGACTAGAAAGGTACGGTGGCTGTTGGGATGACAGTATACTGCAGCTATGAGAATAGTCTAACGGTACTTGAGTTGTCTAGGTAGTCAAATTGAGGTCTGAGGACAGACCAGTGGAACTTGTGTTATCGAGCCAGTCTACTGTAGCTCTGATGACCAACTGGAGGAACATGTATTGTCTTGGCCGTCTACTGTAGCTCTGATGACCAACTGGAGGAACATGTATTGTCTTGGCCGTCTACTGTAGCTCTGATGACCAACTGGAGGAACATGTATTGTCTTGGCCGTCTACTGTAGCTCTGATGACCAACTGGAGGAACATGTATTGTCTTGGCCGTCTACTGTAGCTCTGATGACCAACTGGAGGAACATGTATTGTCTTGGCCGTCTACTGTAGCTCTGATGACCAACTGGAGGAACATGTATTGTCTTGGCCGTCTACTGTAGCTCTGATGACCAACTGGAGGAACATGTATTGTCTTGGCCGTCTACTGTAGCTCTGATGACCAACTGGAGGAACATGTATTGTCTTGGCCGTCTACTGTAGCTCTGATGACCAACTGGAGGAACATGTATTGTCTTGGCCGTCTACTGTAGCTCTGATGACCAACTGGAGGAACATGTATTGTCTTGGCCGTCTACTGTAGCTCTGATGACCAACTGGAGGAACATGTATTGTCTTGGCCGTCTACTGTAGCTCTGATGACCAACTGGAGGAACATGTATTGTCTTGGCCGTCTACTGTAGCTCTGATGACCAACTGGAGGAACATGTATTGTCTTGGCCGTCTACTGTAGCTCTGATGACCAACTGGAGGAACTTGTGTTGTCTTGGCCGTCTACTGTAGCTCTGATGATCAACAGGAGGAACATGTATTGTCTTGGCCGTGTACTGTAGCTCTAATGACCAACAGGAGGAACATGTATTGTCTTGGCCGTCTAATGTAGCTCTGATGATCAACAGGAGGAACGTGTATTGTCTTGGCCGTCTACTGTAGCTCTGATGTCCAACAGGAGGAACATGTATTGTCTTGGCCGTGTACTGTAGCTCTAATGACCAACAGTAGGAACATGTATTGTCTTGGCCGTCTACCGTAGCTCTGATGACCAACTGGAGGAACTTGTGTTGTCTTGGCCGTCTACTGTAGCTCTGATGATCAACAGGAGGAACGTGTGTTGTCTTGGCCGTCTACTGTAGCTCTGATGACCAACAGGAGGAACTTGTGTTGTGGCAGTCTACTGTAGCTCCGATGACCGACTGGAGGAACTAGTGTCGTTGTCACTGGCAGTCTCTTGCCCAAGTAACTCCAGCATGTGTTGAAATCTCTTTAAAACCTGAAATATTCATTAGCATACAATATAACCGGAACATATTCCAGAAACAAATACGGACAAATAATAGTCAAACATGACAGTACAATCAGTTGTCCACACTTATAAGGTTTTAATATCATGGACTACATGTAACTGACGTTCACCTAATGGTAAAAATCATCCATTATACACATGCTAAATTATACTGTGATCTTTCCATTTTGTGGGTTTTTTGCTTTCCTTTTTGTCATTTTTCTACTGAAATGTTAAAACTACTATTGTTTGACCTTTGGAAGGAAAATTATAAGGAATATAAATGGTTGGTACTGAAGTACCTGTTGAAGATAAAAGGGGTAATTGATTCTTCAGTGTTCAACAAATCCAGGCCAACTACTATTGATTATTAAGGAAAACGGCTGGTAATGTTGTGTTTTTTTTATTTCATATTTCTCCATAAATGTTCTAGAGATCGGTTTCTTGAAATCTATCAACTTTTTTTTGAGTCAAGAGGTGATCAGGTAACATATTAACTATTTTAAAATTTCAATTAATGTTCGAAAAATATAACCCTTAAAATGAATTTGATGTTGGGAATTGAGAAAGTTTTTAAAGAAGTAATGTGATTCCTTGTTTTGTTTAGGATGGGTACATTTGACTTGTCAGATTAAGCATTTATTCCTGCACTATGTATACTGATCTTGAGTGATCTCAAGATGTAAACGTCAAAATGAATGTCCAATCTGAAGATTCAAATTACACTACACTGTGAGTATCATGATTCAAACTATTCTTGACCTAATTATTATTAGCAAGGGAGATAACTCTATAAAACACTCTTACCTGTGTGCCAGTCTTGTTCCCCATCTGTTTAGCTAACTCGTCAAATGTTCGAGGGGATGTGCCACATTCCTTCACATGCTCTAGAATTTTTCTGTCTGTTTCTCTGTTGAAGAAATTAAACAAAATTTTTAAGTAACAAACTGTATCCAACCCATATATTATCATCAAATTAAGGTGCCATTGATGCAGTGTTGAATCTGGAAACCAGTCTAAGGCCTTAGTAATGGTGACATTGGCCTTGAAACCCAGAAACATGAACTCATTCCAGGAAGTTTTGTACTACATGTTATTTATCATTTGATCAAAATCTAATAACAGCAATGACAGTGAATCAGGACACAGTATGCAACAGGACAGGATGGACATAGGTAACGCCATAATTATGCTCCCTATAAAATGGCGGAAGGGGGCATGAAAAGGCCCCCCCAAAGGTATGATGACTGGTTATCATGTTTATCCTACCCTAACTAGTTAATTTTAAAGTTGCAAGACATTCCATAAACATTGGGTCTATATATACAAGTTGAAATTTGAGTTAAACAAATCACTCATTGGGGAACCGCTTGTAAAGATCTTGTACGGTAAACCTCCGGTCAGATTGACAAAATTAAATAAATATTGTCAATCCTGTTTGAATTACACAAAATTGTAGCCACCAAAATGATAAGTAGTTTGAAAATTCCAAGTCGACATTGGCAAAAATCACGACAAACAGTCAAGTCGTTGATACAGGAAAACTGGCCATGGGTGTGTGAATTTTAAGTCCCATTCACATGTACAGTATACGTACAACAAAAAGATATCTTGTACAAATGCTTTTTAATCCAAAATGTTTGACCCTTTAACCTTTACTGATGATCGCCAAAATCTAATCAGGTGTAGAACTTAATATTATTGTTCCATTGTGAAAACATGTTTTGAATCTGGGGTTCATTAAGCAATAAACTGCATAGATGTGGCAGACCAACTGGTATAACTGCCACATGTGTCACAGACAAACTGAATGGTGCGCACTAGCGCACCATGATAAGTTTGTCTGTGACACATGTGGAAGTTATACCAGTTGGTCTGCCACATCTATGCAGTTTATTGCTTATATTTATATTTCCATAATGAGAATTCGCAAAAAAAAAATATGTCTTTTCCAAATTTCAAATTTCCCGCTTATTACCGTCAGGTCAGGTCAGTATCTAGAACGGCACAAAGATAACAGCTGACGTCATGCGCTATTTCCCATACAAAATTGAAAAGACTCCGCAACTTTCGTTAATAATTCATTTGATTTTGATTTATATATATATCATATTCTCGATTCATAAATAGTAACAAATGACATTTTGTAAGTAACTAATCAAGTGTCGTAAAACATTTTCCGATTTTATTGCGACCTATATCCGGCGCACGCACCCAACGGAAGTCTGCAGTAATCAGGTCAGAGTTATATTTGAAGTCCGGCATGTTGTTGATGTTGATCGTGCAACCGGAGAAGGCTGAATTTGTGAAAAATCCAGGCATATCATTGTTTGTTGATCACACAGACACTTGAGACAGGCAGCTGGTGTTCGGGATCAAAGCAGAAGATACCGATAAGTTCGGTAGTGACACTGTTAAGATGCTCGGAGGTGCAAAGACCAACTTCAGTTATAGTCTCATAAGATGAAGCTGCTATTGGCAGTACGTTAGTAGTAATATAGAAGGGCTTTGCCACACCTAATGTAAATATTGAGATATGTTGTACACAAGCTATTTACAACAAGCTCGCACACAAAACACTATGCACTCACGCAGATACACTGACTTTATACGCCTCTCTACTTAGTGAAGGGTAATAAGGGCTGCTTAAAATTTCATATTTAAACATCACCAAAAATCACAGCCGGAACAGTAACAAAACACATTGATTAGGCCTACAGAAGTCCAATTTACAACACTACAAACTTACTTTGACCAGTCTTGACTTCTTGATCCTTCATCAGAGCTGGACACACAAGATGTGTTTGTTTTCACAGAGTCTGCTTCATCAGTCTCTGTTGTAGAAGGTGGTGATGATGATGCTTGACATGTACCTAGCTGTGGTGTGGACACATTTACTATGTCACCACTAGTTTTATCCATGGATGCATTGATGTGTCTGCTGGTTAGTGCTTGTCCAGCACTGTCCGTATTTCTGGACTGGTCAGTGCTAACGTTTGGCATACTCTCCATTGCAACATCAAATTCACTTACACATCCTGTAAAACCCTTCCTCAGTTTATCATCTCTCTGCACGCCAGACCTATCTGATCCTGTAGCACCCGGACGTAATAACTGACCAGTTTTCTGGCTGTCCTCTGGTCTAGGACAACTGACCATAGAGAAAGCACTATTTGATGACAGTTCCAGGTTCAGATTTGGTTGTGAAGCACTTGTAGACGTAGTCAGGAAGGAGCAGTCCATAGAAGAATCACCCTGCCCAATCATGGCCTCACTGAAAGCTTTGGCCAGTATACTAGAGCTCCCTCTGGTGTTGCCCCTACCGTCCATCAGTGTCGTGTCCATGGTGACATCTCCTTGTCCTATCATGGCAGCCTTCACTGCCTTGGCTAGGATGTCTGAGCAGGTGCTGTCCTTGGATGGAGAACCAAACTCCCCCGCATGTCGTAGCAGGTTCACTGCAGGGGTCAGACGCTTCTGAGGGGACAGACTGGCATCCTCCGTCATCAAATCCAGATTGTTGGGGAGTGACGAGCTTGATGAAGAAGACTTCAGACTTGTGTCCTCACAATAGGTGTGTGTACTCACACTGGGACCAGGAACAGTGCTCGTCATAGTCTCTGTAGAAAAATGTCTGATACCTGCCTCTGTACCGTTTCCCTGAAATGTCCGATTTTCAGATACCTTAGCGGGTAACACAATACAAGCGGGTTCAGAGGTCTGTGCTAGCTGAACTGGTAGCCTCATACCACTAGACTCGAAGGCCTTCACTGTCTGAGCAAGTAACCTTGAACTATCCGACTCCAAGATCGGGGCTGACTGAACAGGTAAAGTCACACTACCCTGCTGCATAACTGAGGAGTCTTTACTGATTCCCTGCCCCTCACACAGACTTCTTGGGTTAGCTAGTCTTTGGTCAGGAATGACTGCAGTTCCAGTAACTGGTAAGTCTTGTGGTAAAATATGTTTTCTTTGGATTGAGGAGGATGTATCGTCTATGACACCAAATAAGGAGGTGGCCACGCCTCTTCTCTGTCCTGCCCCTTCATTAGATGCTGTGGCTTGACTGGTCAATTCCTTGTTAGGTGTAATGGACTTTTGTGCCTCGGACCTTGGTGGTGATCCTGATATAGACCCTTTTTGAGGAGATTCTGCCATCTCATTCAAAGTCATGAACCTCCCTTTCGCCTTTTTCTTCAATGATATTTTCATCTGAAGCAAAAAGTATAATATCAAATAAAACTTGTAACATGCATTGAACATTGTCCCTGAAATCCCTAGAACCTATTTAAGTGGAATAAATCACATAAACAAAGAAATAATATTGCCAGTACTAAATGAGGTATTTAATATAGATATAAAACATTACGATATAATATCATTCAGTGTTTAGAATAAGAGTTTAATTCTAAACAGTAGTATTTCATTCACAGAAGTCATTGAACCTCGTACCAAGCCATCTACTACAGTTACTATATTCATCGATTTGGAATGTTGTTGTTCATTACACTTTGTACCAAGCCATCTACTCCAGTTACTATATTCATCGATTTGGAGTGTGGTTGTTCATTACACTTTGTACAAAGCCATCTACTACAGTTACTATATTCATCGATTTGGTATGTGGTTGTTCATTACACGTTGTACCAAGCCATCTACTACAGCTACTATATTCATCGATTTGGAATGTGGTTGTTCATTACACGTTGTACCAAGCCATCTACTACAGCTACTATATTCATCGATTTGGAATGTGGTTGTTCATTACACGTTGTACCAAGCCATCTACTACAGTTACTATATTCAGCGATTTGGAATGTGGTTGTTCATTACACTTTGTACCAAGCCTTCTACTACAGTTACTATATTCATCGATTTGGAATGTGGTTTTTCATTACACTTTGTACCAAGCCATCTACTACAGTTACTATATTCATCGATTTGGAGTGTGGTTGTTCATTACACTTTGTACAAAGCCATCTACTACAGTTACTATATTCATCGATTTGGAATGTGGTTTTTCATTACACTTTGTACCAAGCCATCTACTACAGTTACTATAGTCAGCGATTTGGAATGTGGTTGTTCATTACACTTTGTACCCAGCCTTCTACTACAGTTACTATATTCATCGATTTGGAATGTGGTTGTTCATTACACTTTGCACCAAGCCATCTACTACAGTTACTATATTCATCGATTTGGAATGTGGTTGTTGATTACACTTTGTACCAAGCAATCTACTACACTTACTTTATTCATGGACTTGTTACGTGGTTGTTCTTCTAGAAGGGAAATATCCATGTTTTCTTTTTCTGCGGCAGCTGTATCATCTTCGTACCACTCCCCGTTGTCATGGTTCCTCGCACCATCTTTCACCTCCTCTTTCTGTACGGACCTTCCCTTGATTGGCTTGTGAAATATGACCTTGACCTTCTTCAGCGTCTTGGTATTCACACGGTAAAATAGCTCCCCATCAATCACCTGAACATCAGAGAGCACCCTATCTTATAATGTCTAAATCAGAGAGCACCCTATCTAATAACGTCTAAATCAGAGAGCACCCTACCTTATAATGTCTAAATCAGAGAGCACCCTATCTAATAATGTCTAAATCAGAGAGCACCCTATCTAATAATGTCTAATCTTTTATCAGTTTAACATGAATTCAAACAGTTAATCAATTTGCAATGAATCCTAAAACATGACACCATTTGTCCTAATAAGAGCCAAAACAACTAGGTAAAGCATGATACTACAAACTCAAAATAGATGCACATCACGAAGCCATATGTGTGTCCTCTTACAAGAACTTTTGGCTACAGGGAACTTATTTGTTTGGTCTACTAATCAGAAGTTGCTATAAACATGTTTACTATAGTGTGACTTTGTTAGGTTTTAGACTGTAACACTGTTTTTAATTCATATATTGGTATGCTTTCATTTTTGTTTGATTGCCTCTTTTAGACACTGGCCTCAGAAAGTCTGAATAAGAGTTGATGGAATTTCCAATTCCTTATTCTTTTGAACAACATTGTACTACAATTATAAAATTGTCTGAGTTGTTCTTACATTATGTTTTACTTGTGACCTTGAAAGTGGATCAAGGTCATTCATTTAAACAAACTATAGCCCTTAATTCCATCATAAAAAAGGCAAAATATCATGACCCTAGGCTATTTCTTATTCAGAAGTTGACACAGGACAGACGTACAGTAGACAATACACAATCATATTGGCCTATAGGAAAAGTGAGCTGAAGAAAATCTTCTACACTACTACCTGAGACCTGAAAACAGACAAACTCTACCTTGAGGCAACAGGAGTAGCAGTGCTTGTTCCGTTTGAAATAGTTGGTGTCAACAGGATTGTTATGGCAACGACATTGACATTTCTTTGTACCACTTATATCCTCCTCATCTGGTAACTCCACCTCCTCAAATCCATCAAAATCTGCCTCCTCATCACTTTCACCAAGAGTTATCTCCTCATAGTCTGTCAGGTAACTAAAAAAATACAGAGTTATCTCCTCATAATCTGTCAGGTAACTGAAAATACAGAGTTATCTCCTCATAATCTGTCATGTTACTGAAAATACAGAGTCATTTCCTCATAATCTGTCAGGTAACTGAAAATACAGAGTTATCTCCTCATAATCTGTCAGGTTACTGAAAATACAGAGTTATCTCCTCATAATCTATCATGTTACTGAAAATACAGTCGTTTCCTCATAATCTGTCAAGTAACTGAAAATACAGAGTTATCTCCTCGGAATCTGTCAGGTATCTGAAAATACAGAGTTATCTCCTCAAAGTCTATTATCTCCTCACAGTCTATCAAACGACAGTAAATTCAGAGTTGTTTCCCAATTGATTATGCAATCTTTTTAAATCTTTAACAAATATTCACAAACATTAAATTTTTGTTATAATAATGGGTACATTTTTGACATACTTAATATGCTTTTTATAGCATAAGCTATCCATGATTTTTTTTGTGTCTAGACAGTTACAAATCAGCTTCAGATAGGCCTCATTTATTGAATGTTATAACATTAGTAAACATCCAATCTTGAGGTAATATATATATATGCATTATTTCATAGAAGTATGAATCAGACTTCAAAATGATATTTAAGATTTCTACTTTATATGATATTGGTGGATGGTGGTGCTGGGGGAATGGGGGTATTTATATGAAACATAATTTTTCTGGAGTGAGGGGTAGAGGTCATTTTTAAAAATAAGAGATGGTATACATACTGAATGCTAACTTTCGTGAGGTGGGGTATTCATCCTTAAAGATGAGAGGGCACACACTGAACTGGGGTGGAGCAGGATATTTATCCCTAGATAGGGCAAACACACTGAATACATACCTTTCCGGAGGATGTTCATCCTTAAAGAAGAGAGATAACTCCTGCAGGAGGTGAATCTGTCCCTTTAGGAGAGGCTCTAGGGCAACCTTAAGCTCTGCTGCACTTTTGTTGTGTTTCTGAGACCAGGAGGACAGGACCTTGAGACACTTCTGGAAATGAGTTGGATGTCGGAGAAAGTGAACCTGGTGGATAAAAAATAAAGAAAACTTTACTGAAAAAGGTAAAACATAAAATAATGAGGCATTATCAGATTAGTTAAAAAGATTAATAACAATCTGAACACATTAAAATAAATGCTTATCATTTGCAAATTGAAAAAAAATGCATTATGTTGTTAGCAATAAGGAGTGTTGATTTTAGGCTGAAGGAGTATTTTGGTCTTGAGATTGCATCTCTATGAAAATTTGCATTTCAGTAGTGTATTTCTCATAGTGTACAAGAAGTGTTATGTCTGATATAGTTTAGGTTTAGAGTATTTTTGTACTACTCTCATCGGTCAATCAAGTAAACAGTACATTCAACCTACAGATTTATTTCTTTATTTCAACAAACAACTGAGTACACAATATCTAAAACCACCACGTTTATAGTAAAACATGTATACTGCTATATGTATACTTAAAGTTTTCAAGCTAATTATTTGAATAATACATGTATCAATTTAGTCTAGTCTGTATAGTGTACCTCAAGTTTGCGAAGGAAGGTTCTGGCTCGGATGAACTCCTGTGTCGTCATGTAGCAGCCACATTCTACAGCCTGCTCCGGAAGAAGAAACCCTGCGAAGTCTGTCACCAGGTCAGGGTATTCCTTTAGCACAACACGCAGCTCTTTGTATAACTGTAAGATAATAATATACATACAATGTATTAATTTTAAAACATTCACTAGTCTGTCACCAAATCAGGGAAGTTGTTGTATACATTACTTTGGAAACTGTCTGTTGTCAGCTAGGGGTAAAAATGTAGAAAATTCATGCAGTAATTACTTTGAAGTTCATTGAAATAACATTAACCTATAAATAGCAACACCTTTACAGGATAAACTTTGAAGAATTATCCGAATTGGCACATCGGAACATAAGTTTAAGTTTTAAATACATGTTCAAAATGGCACTGTGGCAGCCGTATTGGTTTTTTGACCAACATGAAAAATGAAAACACTTTGTCAGGACCATGTACTGAACATTCCTTTGAAGTTTCATTGAAAAGCTTCAGAAGAACTGAAATTTGAAATTGAAAATATATTTTGACCAACCTGAAAGTAACAATTCTCTGAGCAATACACTGAAAATGTCCATGAAGTTTCATCTAAATCTCTACTTAATTTACGATAAACTTGTAAGGGGAAGTAACTCCCATATCACTAATGTCACCAGTGACCAAGCTGGCAGAATGTCAGCGAAACTGTCTTGGTAAGAACAGTGTTTTCACATAGCAGTGTCTCGATGAATCTTGCAAACAGATAAACTTCCAAAATGTTAAATGTCAACACATGAAAAACGATGTCTGTCACTGTCTAAGACAATCAAATAGAGGCATAGAAATGACACTCAACTGTAAATTGTTCATACAGTTTAAGAAGTAACCAGATTAATTTTCTCTTGAAACTGATGAAGATAATATTGATCTTTAAGGACTGAAAGTAACAACAATCTCTAATGATGACTGAAAGTTAACAACAATCTCTAATGTTGACTGAAAGTAACAACAATCTCTAATGTTGACTGAAAGTAACAACAATCTCTAATGTTGACTGAAAATTAACAACAATCTCTAATGTTGACTGAAAGTAACAACAATCTCTAATGTTGACTGAAAGTTAACAACAATCTCTAATGTTGACTGAAAGTAACAACAATCTCTAATGTTGACTGAAAGTAACAACAATCTCTAATGTTGACTGAAAATTAACAACAATCTCTAATGTTGACTGAAAGTAACAACAATCTCTAATGTTGACTGAAAGTTAACAACAATCTCTAATGTTCACTGAAAGTAACAACAATCTCTAATGTTGACTGAAAGTAACAACAATCTCTCATGTTGACTGAAAGTAACAACAATATCTAATGTTGACTGAAAGTAACAACAATCTCTAATGTTGACTGAAAATTAACAACAATCTCTAATGTTCACTGAAAGTAACAACAATCTCTAATGTTGACTGAAAGTTAACAACAATCTCTAATGTCGACTAAAAGTAACAACAATCTCTAATGTTGACTGAAAGTAACAACAATGTCTAAATTTGACTGAAAGTAACGACAATCTCTAATGTTTACTGAAAGTAACAACAATCTCTAATGCTGACTGAAAGTAAACAACAATCTCTAATGTCGACTAAAAGTAACAAGTCAATATAACTACCTATGAAGTCTCACTTTTATGGAAGGGTAGTCCCAATTTTTTTACTCAATTTTTTTACTTTAGAAACTGGCAGAAGTCTCTGTATCTTACTTTTTCTTCATGATTTTTTAAAATTTGTTGTATAGAACAACTATTTCTATGGCATTTTCTAAGATTATTCTATCAAATAGGGTTATTTTACATACTTTATAATAATTGTTATATGTAGTTTGAACTTTTCCATCATGAATGGTTGACAAGTGTGGTGAGTGTGATCTCTACTGATACCTTGATTATAGGTGTATCTGTATCAGACAAAAAGACAGCCAGAGGAACTATAAACATGTGTATCTTAACTGGATATCTTGTGTTAAAACATTCTCATTTCCGAGTTGTTATACATTTATGAGACTAATCTAGAATTACGACAATTGGCGTCTGAGGACAGCAAATGCTATAAAAGTGTATTTAAGTCTTAAATGTACATCATTATGACTAACACAAGTATTCGCTCTCATGCCAATTTTAATGGCTGTCTTGGAATAATAAAATTGTCACCTGAGACAGGTGAGTAAGCGAGACTGACAGGGCAGGTGAGAATGCCTCAGAATAAACCTGACCACTATATTTGTCGATTATGTTTTATTGCCTTCACTTGTTATTACAGTCCACAGCACACAACTTCAGCTATGTTGTGTACTTAAGCATCATCGTACCACTGCCAAAAACTGAAACTAAGTGTTGGCAACTTTTTTCTTGCAGCACTTATATAGCTTTGTTAAATCATTTCTGAAAAGATACCCAAACCTTGCAAGACTTTTATGAGAAATAAATGTAATAAAGAAAGATGTGGAAAAAATTCAGCTGGGCTAGACTTGGGTCGGAACATGACTACATTTCAGATTGTTATACTATCGCTCTAACCAGTTGAGCTACCTGGTCATCTCCAGTTTCCTGCCCCAACTGTGCTACAGTTATATTCAAATGGAAGTTCAAGGGTATACGAAAAACAAAGCACAGTGGGTCAGGGATCCTTAATCTTGGCTTTCTGTATGTGACTAGGATCAAATTATAATAGGGGGCAGAATATTTTCCAGATCTGTGACATGATGATCACATCATGGTAGAGAGCAAGCAACCTCAGCTCTGTTCAACTTATTACGATCAGGTCATTGATTTAAGAAACTTTAGATCTTTTGGTAACTAACTGAATTTTTCATTCTCTTGAGTTTGAGATAGGGGGATCTCAACTCCAAGGGGAAGATTCCACAAGAAATTGACAACTTAAGAATCTTTCCCCGAGGGTTGAGATCCCCCATCCCACCCCCAAGGGTTAATTCTTTTTCTCTTACCCTCTTAGACATATAATGCAATGTTGACATACATGTAACAGGGCCAATGCACTTTTCATGTGACGTTAATGAAATGTTGACCACAATGCCAATGCAATGTTAACATGATATGAAATAATTTTTATGACTAGGGACTCCATCATCGCAAATCTTAGAGTGCGACAGGGATATCTCGCACCGGAAAAAGTGTTGATACACCTTTCCAGAGAAGGGGAAATAATTAGCACATCACGTTAGAGGGTAGCCAACTTTGTCGTTTTTAGCGACTTATCTGACCACATCAGAATGGGGAGCAGAAATCTTTAGCTCTGTACAGATTGTGACAGGGAGCAGAGAAAATGAAAAATATAGCAATTCACTGAGGGAGGGTCGACAGAACAGTCTGATGACCCTGTATATGCACTTTTACTTCTACCCCCCCTTCCTTTCCCTAACAACAAAATCCTGGATACGCCTAATGGTTACAGAATACAAACACCCCATGCATGACTTGAAATAAAAGTTGCCAATTTCTATAATCAATGATGTGCTGATTGACTACCAGAGTGGACACTGCCTGAGTAATAAATGTCTGGCCTTGTGTACAATAGACTTGAGACAGGGGTCTGTGTCAACAAAGCTCTTGATTGTGTGGACAGTAACTCATCCCCATACAAAAACGACCTCTTGTGTTTGGTTAAATCCTCAGCACTTGACGGTAAGTCCCCATCAGAGTGTAATAAGATGCCTCTGACAACACTTGTTGCGGCTATCTCTCCCACTAAACAATCAGGCTTATCCAAACTTGTTAATGATAATGATATTTTTGACATATTAACAAACAGATCGTCCAATAAACATGAAACAGCTTCATTTTTAGCAGACAAAAATGAGAATGAAACTACATTTTTCACAATATGTGCATTTAATTCGAAATCTTACTATCTGAAAATAAATATCCTAATTATGTCCATCAGATAAAGTGAAGAGGCAATCTTTGTTATTATAAAGTCAGATACCTTCACTATCTGGCAAAATAATTATTTTAGTTCTTTGGTAGTTATTGGATGTCTTTTAACTCTGATGTTTCAAATACCTCCAAAACCAATCCCTGCTCCAAATGCAACTACAATACGAATGTAATAGGGTACATTTTGTACAACTATATATCTATTTTTACACTTCATCTGCATAAAGCAATTCCCAAACTTGACTAGGGTAAACATCTTGGCAGTTTAATCAGGGGAACAGTTTGAGCACGTGAATTTAGTTCAAACTTTTTTTAATAATATTTTTTCTAACTTCTAAATAAAACCACCAATAATTCTTTGAATTCGCTAAACATTGACCAATATTTACATTTCTACTGATCTTGGACTCAATATACCTACTTAACATTTAAAAGGTTATTTCTCAATGAACTTTTCAGTTGGTGTATGAATACATCAGCATATTATCAACCTGATTACTCTGTTATTCAGCCGAGCGCGGAAAGTAGTTCCATTCATAGATCGTTTTCAGTTATTATTTTTTTTGTCAGAAGTATTCAATTGAATTCAAAAAATAATTTACATCTTAATTTGCTTATTCATCGTCTCACAGTGAGTGATGATGTCATAAGTGTTGTTACCTTCTGTGGTGTTAGACTTGCACAAGACCGATATTTTAGAAATTATCCGAACAAATATCAATATCGCTCTAAATGTAAATATAAGGATAGAATCCCATTTTGTTGAGGTTTATGGGGTATAAACCTCAATTGGTCTTGAGACAAATTCTAATGAAATTCTTTAATGAATTTAACCTTTGAACTGGACCTGTTATATTTATAATGGACATGACAGATAGCTATAATACAAAGTAAAGCTATATGAAATGAATTTAAATACTTAACATACCAGTGTATGGTTTAGAGATAAAAATTTAAAAGGACAAACAGACAGACACAGGAAATATTTGTAAAACATAAATACTGGATATGCCCTTACTCTTTAAACATTTTCTTCAGATTGGTAAAAAAAAGCGTAGCTGAATTGAGTCATTTCGGTACATATAAAACTATTTTACGTAGCCGAAATCGACATCGATTTTATGGACAATTCGTAAACATTTTACACCTCTGTGTGCATACGCTTCACTGGTCATTTGTCTGATGAAGGTG